ATGGACTTCTAATTCAGAAACTATGAATTGCATTTTGTAAAGATTCAGCCTACCTCGTCTAAAACTCGCATGCAAATTTATTTTAACTTGCTTTGATGGGACCCCGACGGGTCTTTAATAAAAATTATCTATCTATCTATTACCGACAAAGACAAGGAAGACTGATCTGGCTTATTAGCCGTCGTCAGCCAGCCATACACGAGCCCGAAGTGTGCAACACCCGAGCCTCGAACTCGCGACCTGTTGTTTTAGAAGTCAACGCCTCTACTCACCGGGCCACGAGCCCGTTGCCCTGTCGGTTTTCGATCGGGAATATACAGTGTTAGGGGGCGCTCACCGATCGTTCATACAGAACTCGGTATTCCCCGTAAATGGCTTCTTTTGTGAATATTGGAAAAGTTATATTATCATTTTAGTATTAAAGTCTGGCTGTCCTTCTGACGTTCAGAACTATCGAGGTGTCCATAAAACACCTTCTCTCGCTAAAACCTTTGAAAAAATTGTCACCTGAAGAATTACAGACTTTTGCATGGGCAATCAAGTTATTACCCATTCCTGGCATGGTTTTTGCCGGATCGCTCTTGTGAAACATGTCATTTGTCGATTCTCAATCTACTTACTTCTCTTTGAAATAACGATCTATCTGTTTTCGTTATTTATTTTGATCTGAGTAAAGCCTTTGTTAAAGTGCCACATGAAAGACTCTCGCCATGCACATCGAGGATTTTCGCGGTTCTTGATGTTATCTCCCTCATTTCGACTTCATGCGGTCTGTGGACGCTTACGGCGGAACCCTCAGTATTCGCCGTATACTAGTAGTTTGGTCCTACCTCCCTTCCCCACTCCTCAGCTGGGCTCGAAGCTTACTGTGGCCGATCGCGTCTGGGTTCCTCTCCTCTGGCCTCTTGGACGCGAATAGTCTCCTCCCGTCAGAATCTTTTGATGCCACAAAACATTTTGCTGGACCGGATGGTTATATCTGGACCGTGTGTTCCGTGGGCAGCAAAGCACTGGACGACGTAGCTCACCTCCCTTAGAAACAAACAGCATTTTCCTGCAAACGTTTTGTTCTAAACGCCAGATCCTTGATAAATAAGATGCCTTTGCTTCAGATTCTGGTGTTCATCCATCGTCCAGATATTGTTTTAGTAAATGAGTCATGGACATTAGCTTTTGCAGCTGACTCCGGACTCCCCTAGGCTATACGTTCATTCGAAATGTTCTTCAAGATAACCGTGTTTGGGAGGATTATGTCTACGATATGCAATCACTTACATTTCTGCCGCTGGAACTCCCGAATTTTCCCTCGGTATAAGGAAGACGTTGGATACAGGTTTCACTATAAAAATAAGTTTATTTAACTAGTTGACTGTGTTTATCGCCATCCCAACGCCAACGACAATTTTGATCGTTTACTCTCACTGACATTTCATGCTGTGGCCGACTTAAACTTTAAGTATCAATAGGTTGCGGGTGACTTTAATCTCCCTGAAGTCCGCTGGTTTCTACCGTCCGGCCACAGAAGGTTCGATGTCTTTCCTGAGGCTGTGGATGATGGGATGTAGACTCCGGTTGTCGACTTTCGCACCCGAGGATCAAGCATGCCTTAACTAATTTTCTGTAGAGGCAGCATGCCATCGTCAGTGTCATCCCTAGGCCCACTCGGCGGCTCAAACCATGACATAGTTGCTTCAACGTTGGAAATCGAGGTTGATAAATCGTTGTCCCGAAAGTATAACTTTTTCCGGAATTTCCGATCAGCTCGCTCGACCGAATTATTAACACACCTCAAGTCCTACGACTGGAAAGATTTCTATATTCTTCGAATGGAAATTTTTGCACTGCGAAAATGTACAAAAATTTGGATCCGCTTATTTCTCGTTGTGTCCCTCGTAAAAAAATTATTAATTTTGGGAATGAGGTTATCCTGCCCTTGTCCTTTAGCCGCAGGTTGCGCAGACTTTCTCGTCGATTCAATCTTCAGTACGACCTTTCTGATCTGCTCTTGATTTGTGATAATTTTGAGCGGGATAATAGATTGTCTGATGAAAAACAGCTAGCCGAATTTGTTCAACTAACCGGAAACCCTTTCGTCGCAGATTGCGCAGACTTTCTCGCTACTTCCATCTTCAGAATGACGTTTCTGTCCTGCCCTTGATTTGTGATATTTTTGAGCGGGCTAATAGATTGTCTCATGAAAAACAACAAGCCGAGTTCGTCCAATTAACCGGAAACCGTTCGTCAAATGTATCGAAATTTTTCTCCAGAAAAGTACTAATACAAAGAAAGAGTCAACATCCCACCCTACGATACGCTCTCAGAAATCCTATAGTTGATGCCCAGTTAACCGCTGATAGCTTCAATGCTTTCCTGTCCAAAACGCTTATTGAAGACTCGATCACTCCACTTCCGACCACCCAGGCATAAACCGGGGCAGTTCTCAAAATTATAACTTTCATTCTGTGTGATGTGACTGTTGCGTTTCGGCGTTTTCGTCAATCTCATAGCCCAGGGCGTGAGGGTGTACCAGTAAGTATTTTAAAAGCCGATGCGAATACGGCTTTCCCATCCCTTTTATGCAAGATATTTAATGTTGCTCTTGAAAGTAAACACACACTGCCCATTCGTAAGCATGGCCAATCTACGTCATTTGATGACTTTCGGCCAATAAACACACCCCGCAGTTTCGAAGATCTTAGGGACATTGATCAAAGATACGATGATGTGTCACATAACGAAAAATAACGCACTGAATGCTGCTCAGCATGGATTCCTAGAAGCTCGGTCTTCAGACACCTGTCAACTCTCTTTCCTTGATCATGTTCACCAATCTAGGGACGACGGTTTCGCGATTTACACAGTCTATTTCGATTTCACTAGAGCTTTTTGATCGTGTCGACCATGCTCTTCTTGTCTTGAAACTCTCCTCTTTCGGCATAGGTGGTAAAATTCAGAATTTTATATCCTCTTCTCTCGGCACTCGTACACAACGAGTTAAGATTTCCACTGCTATCTCCAACCCTTCATGTGTGAGGAGTGAAGTCATTCAGGGTAGTGCCCTTGGCCCGTGCTACCGAGCGGAAGAAAATAGAATCCGTTCAACACTTTTTTGCCAAGAGAGTGTTAACCCCAGAACACCGGCATTTGTCTTACAACGAACGTAGCCGGCTTACGGGCCTTGATCCTTTATTGTTCCGTAGATTACAAAAGGACAATTTTTGCTATTTAAACTCTTATAAAATCACACCTTTAACCCGCTCACCTCTTTAAGACACCTAGTCCACCCACGACGTAACTGTCACCGTGAGGTCTATTTATTTCTTCCTCTGACACGTACTGTTAAATATCGTCGGTTCTTTACTGTGAATGCAATTGCTATTTGGAATAATCTACCCATGAGTGTGAAAAATCTGCAAAATTATCCTTTATTTTTTAGAGAACTGTTACTCGATTTTTGCATTCAGTAAAACTCCCACAAAGTTTGGGTGCTGAATCCACCGAAATACTGTACCGTAGCGATGGCGTTTGTGGTCTCTAAACACTATGGCCGGTCCCACCAGGGAAAATTTCTTTGGCCAACAACGACAGCTGTTCTTCGGCGCTTCTGTTTGGACTAGCCCCAACTACATTAAAGAAATTGGCGACTGATAATATCCGATACCGTGCAACCCCTCCCTTCTTGACGGTCGAATGTCTGCCGCCAGCAGTTTTTTCTCCTGAACCCTCCAAACCATAAAAATCAACATCAACTATATTTGTATTCCTTTACCTCAGAATTTTTTTCACTTTTGTTGGGATTTGTGTTTAACCCCTCCCTTGACAATGCCTGTAAACTGGAATTAAATAAAATTATCATTATCATCAACATCATCTAATCTTTTATTTATGCCCCTTGGATTTTCGGCTCATCCTGTAGGTCTTGTTTACGGTGGCTTTCTCGTCTGCTCTTAGGAGGGACTTAAGACACGGATGAAATATTTACGCTTAGGAATGTACTCTGTCTTTCGTGGTGCCGTAAACATCTTTAGGCATGCTCTAATTGACAATGCATCTGTTGAGATCAACTCGAGGGCGTTGTTGTTTATACTCATGTGCAGATACTTCGTCACGGATATCCCTGTTACTGGCTTCCTCTGACTAAGGAACGTTTGGTTCAGCAGGCTCAGGGAATGACTCCGCGCCCACTACGGTCTCTTGTTCCTTCGACATCTTCAGCGGCTCAATCTATGCTTGTAATTCACCCAACTTTTGTTCCCTTACCTGACCGTCCTTGTCTTTTCGAGGTGCTGTGGGGGCATTCTTTGTTTCCTTATGTTCCTTGTGGTCACCATTTTATAGTGCTTTTCCAAGCAAACATAAACTTTTGCCTTTGATTTTTTTAATAACGTTCTGCATATGCAAGCTAATTCTTCTAGAATAATCGGTTACCGTCCCCGTTTGAGTTTACCTGGACTATGCCTATTGACTGATAATTGCATTTTTCAGTTGGAACTTTGTGTATTCAAACTGCCTCTAATTGTGTACATTTTTTTATACTGCTAACCTCTCTCTGTAATTCGGTCATCAGACCTGTCAAAAAATGAACCATTTCCAACTTACCTCGAGACAAGTTAAGAGAAAAACTTTCGTCTTCTGTAACCACACATGGCTCAATAAAATCCAATTCAGGAAGCTTTAATAACCACTCATCGCCCGGTGTCATTAATAGGCAGCTTGAACTGCCTGCGCTTTTAAACTGCAACGATTTTTTGATGTAGTTTGGCACTTTGTTATTAATTCGGGGAAGATTGCTTGAGTTGAATATCAACGATGTCCTCTCTCAAAAATGCAAACGCCTTGACACACTCGTTCTCGTTGTTGCCAATGAATCAAGTAATAAAAAAGAGCATATAATAACTTGTTGAGAAAGACTCCTGAAAATGCACGGCCGGTTGATGTTGTGACTGATTTCCTGTACTCATGTATATTATTTCTATTCTTCTTCTTCTTCTTCTTCTTCTTCTTCTTCTTCTTCTTCTTCTCCCTATTATTATTTAATTATTAAATGGCGTGTGCCAAGAGTTTGTCATTCCGTATCAAAAATCTGCCTTTTTATTTAATTTGTCTTCAGCAATTGAGATTGATTTAACTTTTGCCCATCGAAGTCTTGTTTCTGCGCATCTAGAAGAGGCGAAATTTTTCCCTTGTCATGGGCTCACCCCCATTGACGTCGAACTGGTTCCTTAGTCCCACAAAACCCTTCGCCTCCTCTGTCCAATGCTCAGCAGTTCCGCCATATTACAAGCAACCATGGCAATCCAGTATCACATACTCCTGCAAAATCAGAATTGTTGTTCCACTTACGCCCACGCCTACCTTTCCGTCAGTTTACTTAACACCTCCGTCTGCCTCCAAATTAGCAGCAGCCCTAGTTGTCGACTCTAATCCGCCTGATAGCTCTTCGAGAAAGCATCAAAATTTGTCTACATCAACTGGGCCGATAGTTCCTCCACTTCAACAAGATCCTCCGAGTTCTCCATTTAAGTCATCTAAGGCGTGGCCTCAGAAAGATTTGATTGAAAAACGAAATCCGACTTTGACGCAAAAGAAGGGTGGCACAACTCCGTTTAGTGATTACCGCCTAATCTTAGACCTAATAAGCCTTTAGAGCAGAGCTCGTCTATGGGCCACGCAGTTCCGATTAAACTCCCAAATAATTCTCTGTCCTGTGTACCGGTTACTTACCAAAGCCCTATTACATATCATGCAAATAGTTCGTACATGAGTCACCCTAAGCCTCAACCTAGTTCCTGGCTTCCCACCACTCAAGGCCGACTGCTCTTAGGTAAGTCTACCTAACTCCCTTGACTTTCATCCTAGACCTGGTTTCCTACCTTTCGATTCTTATGGGTGCCTTCTCTCCCCCGCTAGTCTCTACCTCCGTCCTAGACTCCTTCCTCCCCAAGTCAACTACAAACAAGCCTATTACTGTTCTAAATCTCTTCGTATTCCAATGTCCGAAAACTATATCCTAACATATTTTAGATCTCCCGCTTAGTCTTTTCTTACTGACTCCTTGTACGTCAATAACTATATACACATGGGTACTTATTACAAAATATAACACTAAGTCGCAGCTTGCATATCCACCTTAAATTTTTCTCTAACTACCCTTGGCGATAGCCTTGCTGTTATAAACAGATTGTATGTTATATTACTGGATGCCAGGTCCGTTCTAAAAAAGATGGCCTAGGTCAGAGCGATTGCTTTCGAAATTATGCCCGATATTATACGTATAACAGGATGTTGGACCCATTATCTAATTCTCGACTTTTCCCATTTTCTAGATGAGTAAGATTTCTAACGTCAGGAGCGCACAACTAGTTGTGAAAGCAGTTGTGTTCTTTACCCAAGGTTTTCCCTAAAGCATTATCGCTATGATCTGAATGCCTCCTCATCCTCAAAAAAATCGTGTTCTGAATCTGTTATTCTCTCGCCACAAAGAAAGACAATTCTTGGCGGCATCTACGACCCCCCAAACTCTTCAGCCAGTGTTGATGCACAACTTTGTGCGATCTTTAACTTTACTTTGGAATCTGCTTTCGATGCTAAGATAATCACTGGGGATTTTAGCCTTCCTGAAATAGACTGGGTTTCGAATGTCTGCACACCTGGATTCCAACCAGTCCAAGATACTGCCAAACTTCCTAACTGGTTTCAGCTTGTGCGCTCTCCAACAAGAAGTAATAAAATCTTGATCTTATCTTCGCCGATGACATCGCATCTTTTTTCGTCGATTTCTAAAAGGACATTTTTATAATGACCGCGTATTAATTCATCGTTAACCACCACGTACATTTTAAAATAAGACCGGCGCAGATCGAATCTACCTAAATTACAATTACATGGACAGCGACTTAATAAAAAGCTGTAATGAACCATTGGATTGACGTGGTGGTCTCTCCTGTAATGATGCAACAGTTCTTTGTGATATCATGTCCAATGTTTCAAAAGACATCTTAGAAGTTGTGCCTCTGACTATTCGGACTATCTTGTTCTTAACTTTCTAGGCAACAGACGGGGTGTAGAGGTGTCCAGAAATGGACTTAAAAGTTGAGATAACAGCTGCGTGACCTATCCACTAGTTCTTCATCCGTTCATCTTAAAATCACGGAACTTTTCAAAATGGTCTCAAAAATGCGCCGAACCCGCGACAGGCAGGTAGAATGAATTGCTCTTAGTGATCCAAACTCTGTCAGATTCGTCGCTGAAATCTTCCTTTATCGGTCCATTTCTAAGCGTGAGGACGAAATTCTACCCTTGCTAACCGATGACGAAATCTTCCTCATCGATGACACTGACAAGGCGGAGTTGTTTAGTGCTTTCTTTTCGAAACACCTTACTACTGAGTCCGACCCAGTCCCTTTCCTTCGGCCAATTCCAGATAGGACACTGAGTAAAATTGAAGTCTCCTTAAATCTTTTCATGAAACATATAAGTTGCTTGAAAAACTCACTCTGATCGGTAATGACGGGATGTCAGATTCGTAATAAACAGCAGTCGGCGGCAGTTATCTACTTCGAGGTTAGCAAAGCCTTCGACAAGGTGCCACATTGACGTCTTTGGTAAAACATAAATTTAGTTTATTTCGAAAGGATAATAGGCAAGGTCTTTGAAAACTCAACTGATTACATGTCAGCTCGTAAGAACTAACTGCACACGAACAAGGAAAATATTCGCTATTAAAACAGTACTTGATTCATTTGAGTAGCATTGTCACATAGAAAATATATGCGGGGGTCGTGAGGTATTAGTTCAGATTCAGACTGTCGAGGGAAATCAGGCACACCAATAATTATCCGAGTGTTTCTTGAAGAGTTACAGGGACGTAGCCTCCACGACTGACTGAGGGAGATCGTTCCATTTCTCCAATGCCCTCTGCGGGAAAAATTTGGAACGAAGATTCAGTCCGTAACTTCATCGAATGACCACGAAGATTGGGCGAAAGGTGCCACTGAACCATGTCCTCAAATTTAAATCCATGTTCAAGGCCACGTATTATTTTGTAGACGAGGATAAGATCACCTCTTTGCTGCCTGCAACACAGAGGGAGTAAATTAAGTCAATTCAGTCTGTCAATGTAGGATTGGCTTTTTAGACCGTCTACCAGCTTTGTTGCACGACGTTTTACCTGTTAGAGGCATGTTTGGTCCTTTACTAGCAATTGTCGCCATGCTTGTATGCCATATTCTAAGTGGGACCGAACAAAGGTGCAGTAAACTTCCCCAAAAAGGTCTTGGTCAAAAGTTACGAACGCCCTTTTGACCGGATGGAGCACTCCATGACGTTTTTTACAGCCTAGTGGCACTGCAGTGATGGTTTCAGATTATTCTGTATCCAAACCCGAGATCCTTCTATGAAGATTCTGCGGGGAGCTTTAAATCTTTCAGGGGATATGTCCTCAGGCTTCGAATTCCGGCCTCCTCCATTCGACTTCACCGGTTCCTGTCTATCCAAACGCTCCCAGAATGTCATAGCTTTTAATAGCTGCTCGACACGTTACTCGATCATTAGTGGGGTACTTCAAGACATGGTTCTGTGTCCGCTACTCCCTCCTTGCATCAATGATATTTGAACTTAAATCAAAAATTCGCAAACGTCTAGTTACGCCGCTCACTTTAAGTGTTTTGCTCCTATTCTAAGAACACCGCAAATTTCGTGTTGAAAAAATTGATGTTGATTAACTACGCTTATGAAAATGTACTTCTAAAAGGGAGATGGAATTTTTATGACCGAAGTATTGTTTCAAGTCTTTTAGCCCTGCCAACCTTCCAGGTGCCATAATTTTTTAGAACAACCCACTCTGGGGTTACTTCAGCATAGAGGACCTAGATAAAAATTTGTACAAATAAGCTTACTATATCACCCCATGTAGATAGAATGTCCGACAAATCCGCGTAGATATGCTTATTTTTCTTCCGTCCGCAAATACAGCTAAGGCTTTATTAAGTGCTTCTTCTTCCTGTCCTCGAGTAACGCTGCACTTACCTTTGTATAATGAATGCATGTGACCATAATAAAGTTGGGAATCCTCAGGGAGGTTTTGCTAGACAACTCGTCTTTCAAGTTGCATTTAGCGTTTATTACACTAATAGGTGCCAGTTGGCAGACGTTACGTTTTCGTCGATAAGAAAACGTGAAGCTGGACTTTGCTGCCTGTTTGGCATTAACTCTAGCTCAAAGCTTCCGCGCATTGAAATTCTCAGCCCTTGAGATCGTTTTTTGTCACACGTTATTCCTACACGGTGATTCCGCCGCCCCTTTGCTCTAAAGCTAAACGCTCCCTCATTTTTCATCCGAATAGAATAGAATAGAATAGGTTTATTGTAGCGCCAGAACTTAGAGCATCGCCTAAGATATTGACATTCAAATCGAAATTTCGTGAGCGCATTATACCGGAAAGTATAGTCACTAATGGCCGTCTCATCCCCGAACACTCGGCTTCTTGACTTTGATAAGTGTCTTCCTGGGATTTAATGGCAGGTAATTAATGTTTGCTTGTTCAGGTGGAAACTCTTACTTATATTTTTACAATACCCTGTGTTTAAATTGACTACTAAACCCATTGCTATTACCCTTCTCCCAGAGCGATGATTTGCGCTGGTTCCTGATGTCAACTCCTCAATTTGCCTCCAAGCGGTCTGTTGTCGAGCACTGAGTAATCCTCTGTTTTTGCCATCTGCTAGTAGTTTGATCGGTCGGAAAGGAAGTGTCATTGTCGCATCCCCCCGTACGCCTTCATGAGCGCCACAACTTTTAGTGTCCTCTCCTCGACTAGACTCTAAGTGGACTGTGACCTATCGCGTTTGGCTTCCCCTCATCTCGCAACTTTAACGCGAACAGCTGCATCCGGTTTAGAAATTCTGCTCTGACGATGTCTGTTACGAGTCCCCTGTACGCTGCCATGTGCAGATCAGTCCTATCTGATTCGAATAATAAGCCTTTCATGAGCGACAGTTTTCTCTGTCTAGAAGTTAGTGAGACCACATACTTTTTTCTCATTCAAAAGAATGAGTTTTTTTATTTCTCGCAGATAGTTTTTAGCACCTGACTTCCTATTCTAAAAGATTCGACGAAATACGCTACGGAGTCTGGGTGAGTGTTCTAAAAATTGCTTAAAAATTTACTTTGCTGTGAAAGTACCCTCGAGCGTACTTGAAAGACGCTATTTATTAATTTACTTTGACTACCTTGGGCTCGGAGCGTGAACGAGGTTCTACTCGGCAAATAGAGTCGGTTTCCGTAACCTCGGGTGGTCGGGGGTGGCAACCTATGCTTAACTTCCCTACATAAAAGAGGGTTAATATAAAATAATGTTCGAACCCTTGCTGCAGCGAAGGATCTCGCGACTGCTTGACCAGGCTGTCTTCTTAGGTGTTCGCTCGCCTCTTGCCCCTGAAAAAAGGATTTTTATCAATTTTACAACCACTGGTATGTTTGACTGTACCCGGTTACCATATAATTTTACTGGCCCGAGGAGAATTTATCGAAAGCAACCTATGCTCACCAACGCATCTTGTTTATTCTATCTGTCGGCAATGCCGGCGGGATTATGCAGTTAGTTGCTTAAACCTCTTTCTATTTCCACAGTCAAACTCAGGATATCATGTAAATGACCACCAAGTCCTGTAGTATTTTTATTACGCTTGTTTTTGCTTTATGAGTAGGTGCTTTTTTTCGCCTGCTGCCGGTCTCAATCTACCAATATCCAGCCTTCTGTTGAGATGTGCAGTGACTAGATTATGATCTACAATCAACCTTTTCTTAAAACAAGGTACCATAATGTCGTTATCTACGTGGAGAAAATCACCATGTCTCGATCTCTTAACGAGCTACTGTCTACCAATTTTGTTTTACTGCATCAATTACAAGCATAGAAGCTTGCGAGACCCTTTTTTAGATGCACGCAGGATCATGTTATTAACACAAGAGGAATTACGCATAGGATTATCTCTGGTCTTAACGTATTTGTGGATTTCCTCTGCAAACTGTGATTCTTTTCATGACTTTAAAGTGGTGGAGAAACCAACAATATACCATGGGATGGAGAACTTATTTGACAATAATCCTTTTTCGCACACGGATTTGTTTATGCGTACGGGCCAAACGTTCTCAATTTTGATCAGTATGCAAGAGGAAATGATGATAAACGCCCTTAGAATATATGGTACGTGTAATACAATCCATCTTTAAACCCTAAAATTTGCATTTACGAACTGCCTTTACTACAATTTTGGGGAAGAATTTGCCATTTTAATATAACGTCAAAACGTTTTCCGATGGATCATGTCAACTTGACGGTAAAAAAATAACATCACGTAACCCAGCTGAACGGAAAAGGGCAAAAAATGTTGCCTAATTATTTAATAAATTAAAGTGGAAATGCTTAATTGGTCATGGAATCTTTAATAATGCACCAGAATCAGCCAAATTTATTCGAAAATCTATCTTGTATTCAAGAGCAAATAATACTTACTGGAGTCGCCGATGATTGATGGCTGCAATCTTCGGCTGCGGAGATCCGTTTAGCTTCTATTATCGAGAGTCAATTTTAATTAAGGAATTAACACATAAAATATATTTTGTTTTATAATAAATAATAATTCCTACTTCGTCAAAACGCCTTCATTCAACTTTTTTGGGGAAGGGGGGAGGGGAGAGGGGAGGGGGTACCGTAGTTCGTTTAGTAATAAATCGGATGGGAAAGGCCAAAAAGAGCTTTCTTAAGGTCGTAAATGGGAAGGTCGTTAAGGAAAGGCGTCCCGCATCCATAGCGCCGTATCGCGACTTTTCGCAATTGTTCCCATAGCGACTACATGGACAAAATCCGCTATAAATCCGTCATTGTATCGCGACTTTTCCACAGCGAGGTGACGTCACCTCGCTATGGAATTGCTACTAGGGTATTATTACTCTAAGTCATAAATACAAAAGGCCTCTTTGCATCAAGTCTGGACCGTTGAAGCGGGTACTTGAATTTTTTAAGTTTTACTTGCAAATGATATATTATTGCAATTAGCGTTAGTCTTGGTTTCGCAGGAATCATATCTGCTTGACATCTCGCAGACTACAGACCAATATTAACAAACTTACATCACATCAGTAAATTTCTTTATTCACTTTATTGCTGTCAGTACTGTCAGTAATGGGATTGTAAAATAATAAATGAACATTTCGGAGATTGCTGTGTCTACGTTTGAAAGGGTTACGTGCACGTTCATAGCCCCTAAACGCTAGTCATTATGTCCTTGACGTTTGCGAGTGCCTGGCCGCAATAACGACTTTGGCATAGGTATCAACCTGGACCCAATTTACGAGTCTTTCATTAGTGGTATGGCGTCTCAAATTTACAAAACTCTCCGAAACAGTAGTTTATAATGCATTCACGGTAAGACGAGAAATTGTTTGTCAAAACCGTGCTTAATAAGCGGATAGATCAACTTCCTTCTCTTACTCCTGGCGACCTTATTCGAGTATTGGAATTCCTTGTCAAATGTGCATCCCAGAGACGTCCAGTGACCCTTGTGATTGAAGATTGTAACTCATGTTTCTACCTGGGCCTTTTATGTTCATCCACAAATCCATTCTGCAGAAGGGAGCATAGCTGATCAATGTAAGCAGTACATATTTTTAAAATACCCAACTGTCCATTAACATTTCGAAAACTTGCGTAATTAAAATGAATGACACAAGTAGCTGTAAGTGTTGTGAAATTAAACTGTCCCCCATAGTGCACTTGAAGCTAAGCGCATGGCCTCCGTACAATATGCTGTGTAGAGTATAACGTCTACCAGTGTGTTTTTGGCTACGTAATTGCACAGATACACTGGCAAATAATGTGTAAAATGCATCTTTTTATCATTTACATAAAACGTAATTTTAACATTTTCTTACTTAGGTATGCTTATGAACTTGCTCAGACACACCTTTTAAGATTGCGCGTACTCGTAGGTTTCGTTTATAATTTGATGTGTCATAGCAAGAGTGACGAGATCTAGTAATTTGTTTTTAATTTTACCATTAGATATGTGTGAATGTCGAAAATTAATGAAAATATCTTTTGCGTTCTCCAGATTGCGCATAAGCAATAAAGCCCATCCCGGCATAGTTTAACAGGTATTGCCGGTTTTGCTTATAAACTTAAAAGTCACTGTACAAAAGCTTGTGCAAAATATAGTCAACGTTGTTAGTCTTCTTTAAAACAACATTTTCCACCATGCTTCATCAAGGCTTCACCATCAAAATTGAGTCTCTTTATAACACAATAGCAGAAACGTGTATAAGAAGTACACATCCTAAGACGTACTGTAGTGTCAAATATGTTCGTTTAATATGTATTTGATAAAGAGGTTAATTCTGCTGACTTGTCGGCCACAGGAACCGCAGTTCTAAAACAAGTGGACGCGAGAAAAATTTGAAAATGCAAAACCTCACGAAGTCTTATCTCTGACAATCTGCCGCTATATTTAGCAGACATCCTAACAAGCATGTTTTCGACAACAGATTTGGCATTGCACACAATGATCATTTAGTGAATTTTTTGCACACTAATGTGTTTTAGCTGTTTTGTATCAAATATGCCTACAACTGTCGAGGACTTTTATCATACATTTTGTAGCATGACGCCCTTTAGTAATAAAGTTTGCCCGTTGTCGTTTTCTGAAGCAAGTAGTTAACGTTCTTAGATCCGCTGTGTTTTAAGTAATAAACAAATTATGACTGGACCTTAGGTGTTCCACATCTCGGGGTTGAATATGGCTGGCTGACCGCTGCTACCATGCCAGAAATGGCCGTTACAGTCTCTCTTGTCTTTGTCGATAATAGTACTCTGTCGAAATTTCTATCTCGTAAAATTAACTTAAAATTCCTTTGCTGGCGCGCTTTACTGAATCCAAGCGTAGTAATGTAGTTTTAAATAAAACCTGCTCCTTGTTTTTTGTCTTCTGTCGGTTAACGATACTACCCACTTTATCTTATTGCTTTATTTGTAAGTTACTAGATGCCAATATTTACTGAAAACTATCATTAGAACAACATTTGCAACCGATACTTCATCCGCATATACCTGAGTGGGACATTTTGTAACCTATCTAATCGTAACTTACAGTCCGACAAGCAGTAGCTTAACCAAAATGAACAGCTAAACTCAGCGTTGGTCTAAGTAATTAATGGACCTGTACCAATCACTTTAATTTATAAACATGATCCAACTAATGGCCCTTTCAGAAAATAACCGAGTTTCTTTATTCACTATAATTGCGATTGGGGAGAATATTGAAACCTGCTCCCTGTAAATGCGTCTGTCGGACATGCAACGTCACATTGTCATTTTGATTGCCACTTTTGTTAACGCATGATATTTGTGGATAGCAGTCCATTTTAATGAAAGCACCGCGGATTACCCCTAATAATTTTGGAAAAATTACGTAGTTCGTGCAACGTCCTTCTTGAACTAATTTACTTAATCGATCAACAAGAACAAAAGGGCTAGCATATCTTGTGATTATCATCGTCAAAAGTAAAATTCAAGCTATAGACATTATTGCTGCATTTTAGACATAAGGTTCAGTTGTGTTTTGACTCAGCTTCTATCAAACAACAATTGCCTTTTTACGCCCTGCCTTACCTAAGGTATGTGCAGCTACTTATCATAATATAGGATATTATAAAAATATTACACTTGTTCTGATTTCATGAAGATATTGCCTACTGATAATGCGCCTGATCATGCATGTTTAGTTTTCCGACTCTCAACAGCATAGGCGATAACGGACGCACAAATGATTGTCAGTAATCCCAAAATTTCGGTACATCAAAATCAATAATACTGCTAAAGCCTTTAGGCTAACAAACAGTCTTGTTTTGTGTATTCTCTCTTGTGCCCCTTGGCAAAGTTTGATATCAACAGTTAATTTACAAACTATTTACACGTTATCAGACTTGGTCTGCATTTCGCTCCCAAAAATAGCACCAAGCCTTTAAAAAAGTAAGCATCAACTTATGGAAACATCCCCAATGCTCTGTTTTATGACGTACATTGTTACTTATTTGCGTCTTTTAGCCGACTACTCCGATGACATTAGACACACGATCCGTGCTGGATATATAAATTCCGAGATGAATCATGAAAAGAGTCTTCTGATGCCCTGCGAAGAATCGGAGAGTGGATATATCTGCAGGCTAGTATGCGACACCATCGGAAACCGCTCTGTGATCGGAAAGAGTGTCTTTTGGACAGCAAAAAACATGGGCTCCGATAGTTGGGTCCGAATTTATGAAGCGAAAGTCAAGACGTCACCACTGGAATTAAAAAACAAATCAGCAGGTAAGCGGAGTTGTGTCAGCCAAATGACTACTTATCCGGTGGAATTTTAAACAAGTCTTTGCTCCCAAAACTCTTCACCAGTCTTAAAAAAAATAACAGCAATTATCGCATTCTAAGTCTTAGAAATATGTATGCTGTATTGAGAGGACTGTAAACTCTCAGGCTTCTGATAACGTGATTTTTTCACAAGGGTTGCTAAAATGCTATAATAATCACATTTACATCACCGTTACGTAGAACCTATTGCAAACAGATGTCAAAATCTCCCAAATTGTCAAGTACACAGTGCTTTTCGACAGAACACTAAACTTGATTATACTGAATTTTCAAGACGTCACGGTAACCCGTCCTCATATAAGTAAAGTCGACTGCACTTGGGCTTGTACTTGGCTGGATTGCTCTTACTAAGGAAAAATGAAATAAACCTGTTGTCATTCGCAAAAAGGTCTAAGTCTATGCAATAACACAAGGACTTTTCCGATCAGACATAATCGTTCTAATGACAAATCGCGTCCACGTGAAATTACCTTTCTTATTGCCTCATTGGTAACAATCGGGAGATGACACCAAAAAAATCCGTTGCCTAGAAATAGTACCTTTAACAGTGAACTCAAACGCCTTCAGGCTATATCAGTAGTTGCAGGCCTACTTTCACGCACTACTTGGACTTTCCCCGACGGCCTAACATGGGCTGGCCGAACAAACATGGCGGTAGGTTACATGGACGATGGCCGCTGTTACCCAACCTTCTCCATCGTTACACACGTACACCTAAATATACGACATACATTCGCATTATGGCAGTTTATTACAAAACAAAATCACTTTTGAACAAAATAAGTCTGCACAACATGGGACAGGAACAGTTCCCGGACATCTGTCAAAGCCATGGCATTGAGGCCAAACCAAAGACGATACTGTACTTCGTCTATGTGAGCCCACACAGCTCGACCACATACAGGGTCTCCCTCGTGGAGTTTCCTTTTCAGTCTACTCCAGTATGCCTCAATGGCATTGGTGTGCCGTCCGGTGATAGGGTCTTTGAAGTTCTTTGAGTGGTTAACAGAGAAATGTCTATAACCTTCTGAGGGAAGACGATTATACGCCTTCCACTCGTCCGTTACCACTATGCTGTCTTTGGCGACGCATTTTGTAATAACGGAACGGAGAGCGGGCCAACTTCGATCATTCATCTGCTCAAATAAGGCTTTCCATCGGCTAATATCGTACATCCTGACCAGCCACCACCCATAAAACCCCTATTATCACCTGTCCCATAAGACAGACTGCTTTGGTTAGGCGGATTTTTTTGGGTGCCATCTCCCGATTGTTACCGCCTCATTTAACCTTCAACAACTAGTACGAGAAAAGTGGTCTAAGACAGAGAGCGGTTTATGGTAGCTTTCAGTCAAGAACTGGCATTTCCATCACCTGGCCTGTAGTTAATCATTTATTCCACGTTTTATACTAAATGTCGGCCAAGATAGTGGACCTATCGCATCTAGACTTTATTCAATTTTTTACGGGTTTCCAGTTTCCCTGACTTTGCATGTATTTTTTCTTAGCAAGTTCGTTTCACGTCTATCATCCATACTGCCATAGAGGGGCTTAATAAGGCCGGAAGTTAAAAGGGGATTTTTGAAAATTGATTGTGTTTTTACCTTATGACGTAGACTAAAAAAGTTATACACATTCTCCGGCACCGAAAACACTGACGTCTTCCCATAGCAGTTGCCATTCTGCTATCGAAAGTCCACAAACACTTCCTGTTGTCTGTTTATGCACTATTTTGTTGTTTTTGCATTTCCTTAAGCATAATCATGGGGAAAGTACTTGAGGACTTTGAACTTTTAATGCGTTCTTCAGTCAACCATTTCTTACTTTACGTACATAGTGCGCGTATTGCTGTTTTCAGGAAAAATCCGAGGCTTATTTACCAGATTTAAAGTTGGAGGTGTTAGTCATTCATATTAATGGTTGCCCAATGGCAGAGCTAAATAGCCCTGAAATATTACAGTCGAGATGGCGTCCCTACCACGTGAGTTATCTATCAGTGTCAATTGTCAATGCCCAACGATTCGCCGTTAACTGTCATACTGGAAGTAAAGCCTGTTCTGGACATAAATGTCGTTGCTACATACCTCATGCTGAGCACTAATGCAGTGTCTCATCCTCCCATCAAGACTATTGATACTTTACCGATTCAGTATGTAGCGGTTCTTTTCTCTCGCAACCTGTAATCTTCCCTAATAAGTGCGCAAATGCCTGTGTTGCCTACTGTTTTGGGAACATTGGCTAATGCCACTGGTGATTGCAACTAGCAAGCGAAACGTTCCTTTGGAATTCTAACCTTGAGAACGCGGAAAATCTGAAAAGTGACGGCGAGTAAAACGCCTTTTTTATTAGAGGTCGCTCAAGCGTGAACACCTGACAATAAAAGAGATTTCCTTGTTATGCTTGAGAGGCGTTATTTTGACGCAGAGGGTTGCTTCTATGAGTAGTCGCCTGTGATGAGTTCACCAAACAGTAAAATTAAGAGAGGAATGACACCTTCGGACTTTGAGATATTTCAATACAATGCTGCATCTAAAGATTTAAATAAAATGAAAAAGACAGGAAGGTCGAAAATCCCTATTTAAATCTTTCAGTAACTATAGAAGAGATTGTAGACACCGTAAGTAGCTTGCACTTTTTATTTCCGACCTCTGTGTTGGCAAGAAACTTCGGGCCTGACTCGTATGCGTTTTCAATTCGAAAAGTAGGATTGCCCTGTTCATTATCGCGTTACATAATGTCAAGATATCTCAGTCACGTCAAAATCTCGTCTTCTGAACGAGCTTCCTCTCGGCTGGCTGCATAGGTCACATTCCGTAATGACTACTTAAGTATTATGAATTTCCCCACTGATTTTCGATGTCCTTGTAAATTTGGACATACTTTATGGTAAACTCGAGCAAAAATATCCCTCATTTTAAGCATTTAAATAATTAATTCGAAGATAGTATATCATAATGTTTCAGAAAATTCCCCCAATTCCCGAGTAATGTTGAGCCCGACCTGCCGTTTCAGATGCGTTCAGGGTTTCTTCTCTAAGCTGCATGGATTGCGAGTAAAAAGTCATATTTTTCTGCAGGCCATTAAAAAGAGGTTATATAGAGCTCAGAAACTTTTCAACGGATGCGAACCACGTTGTCCATCTTATAAGCAGCATTGATAAATATCCTAATGCGATGCAGTATGATCGGACATTTCGCGGTCTAAATAAACGAAATAATTTAAAAACTCTTTTAGAACTAAAAATGCACTTTTCTCAAGTATGCAATTTAAATAGGACGTGATATCCTGTCAAACCGGAAAAGAAAGAGTGCTTTTATGCGTGTGTTTTTTATGAAATATGTTTGAAATTATAAAAGCAACTCGTGTTTCCAACTCACTATGGAGAATGAGGTCAAATAGGTCCATTAGATGGATGAGAGCATGGTGAGTGTGGGCAACGAATACTGCTACTTGGACAAAAATCTTGAATAACTACGTACTTCAGTCGGGATTTCCAGAAAAACACTCATATAGCAATAAGAATCAAAACCAATAATCATACCCAGCACCAGATAACGCAGTTTTCAGGCGATTTGTGGTCTAAAAATTGCGTTTATCGCCTTCTGTTATGGCATTAATTTGGTAGTAGTATACCTAGAAACGAGAAAGCCTGGGATACACATCTTTGATCTAGTTATTCCCATCAACCATTCCGGTCCCATATAAGCTGGTAAATGTGTTCTTTTAACGTCTGTGTTCCGGCAAACAGTATTTAGAGCCGAATATAAATGGCGATTGATGATTCGACTTAAAGCCACGATGGAAAATGCACACCTAACTCTGCCCCTGTTCCGTATTGAAACCAAGCCGAACGAGTGACACCAGAGCCGCGTGTTAGTAGCCCTGTACGGACAAGTATCTTGTTTTGAGAGCAATAGGGAGAAAAAAAATTGCCCTTTACAACAAGCGCAGGGCATTAATTCTACAGCAGGTTCCCACGGCCAATGCTTCTCGTCATAAGCTATCAACCTTTAGCATGTCTCCCTTTTTTACGAAGGGAATGTACTTGGGAAGCTTTTAATTAAACAGATCTTTAATGGTGTTTTTCTATCAAAACGTAAAAAAGCTGACGTCTACCTTCAAAAGACTGTGGAATCCTTTGACAAAATAGAAAAAAGTGTTTGATATATTTTGAACCAGCAGAGACAGGGGTGAGGAAACCTGCAGCATATAAAATTTACCACCGTCCACATGGGTGACATCAGACACAACTGGATGAGAGAACTAGCAGGCCGTTATTGATATCTTCTTTTTTCCCAAAGGGGTCAGTGGAGTGGTTTCATCGCGCTTGAGCTCCAACCTTGAAAGCACTTCCCAGGAAAGCCGTGGTGGAAATTTACGTCTGTCTGGTCTTTCTAAGTAAATATTTAAATGAACAGGCTGCTCAGTCCCGGGGAAGATATCATCTAATGCAAAGTCTTGTTGGCTAGCTGTCAAACTGACCGGAAGGAGTTCGAAGAACCCGGCTATATTCTATCTAGCCTGTTAAATTGGTAGAGTGAAATCCTTGTAGAGGACTATGAAATACGTAGTTCTTTCACTCAGACGGCTGAAACCACTGTCATCTGATCGAAAGCATGCTACAACCACCTCGCAACGATACACATCCTATGAACCTTTACAGCCAAGGAGCGAGGAAAACGAGCAAGTCCTATAATAGGTCTGGGAACGTCTGTCTACCACCGTTAATATTCTCGATCCACACCTCCAAGAGGAAGAGCCCGTGGCTCAGTAATTAGGACGTTGAACCCCTAACCAACATGTAGCGGGATCGATTTCCAGGTGTTGCATACCTCGGGGATGGGTATGGCCAGCTGAAGATGGCTAATAAGCCGGAAGTAATTGTCCTCGTCCGCCTTGTCTTTATTCGCAATTTATTTCTGGATATAACACTAGTTGCTGACTGCTGACAGGGCTTTAGGCTGAGCACCAAAAACATAACGGGACAAGTAAGTTCCATAATCAATCGGTGAGTGCACAACTGCCAAAACGAGTAATGTCATCTTGACGGACAAACCGTTCTAATTTGGCTCATACACATCCAATAGGTTCATTCTCCAGCATTGTGATTAGGGGTCTGTCCAACACACTGACATCTTTCATAATTATAGAAACTCTGAGGAACCCTTATATGACCATTTTTGATGTACTAGGTACAAAAGGGGAGAATTAATATCCGATTCTGTCACATTTCCGGCCACTAGCCAGTCATACCATCTTCCCTGAGACGAAGTAAATAGTCTGAGTAAATCAGTTTCTTTATCATCTACAATTTTACCATCACTTAGCAGCTCTTTCGCGGGCGTATTCTACTAATATATTTGTGCGTATAAGTGAGCAGTTATTCTTTTAACTCACCGGCCCTAGAAGAAAACATCTGTTTGAAGAGGCCGTTCCATGTGGAGGGCTGGAGTGGGGAAGATTGCTCTCAGCGCTACTGGGAGCTCATTGATGGGTCGGTACCGTCAGTCTCGCCGACACAAGGATCCGGCAGTAGCATGACAGTATTCTTTGGACGAGTCTACTTCGCGGAGCGGGTGGTGTTCATCCCAACACCAGGTCATCGTGATTTTGGTGAGTTTTGAAAGCAAATTTGCCTTTCGTAGAGAGGGGTAGTAATAATGTTTCTTTTTTCAAAAAACGCTATACCGGAGAGACTCAATGGTCCGTTCTTTTTCCTACTGTCCTCAGAATAAATCTTAAACCCAGTCATTGTAATACGCACATTTCCAAGCTGAGTTGATGTTTAATATTCAATTCGGTTAGATCGCAGTTGGTAGCCAGGAATGGGGGAACGGGCAGCGACCGTAACCCTAATCCTAACCTTAACCCTAACCCTAACCCTTTCTTCAACCCTAAACGTTAACCGTCAAACTTAACGGCAACCCTAACCTTAACCGAAAACGTATACGTAACCGTAGCCCTTAGACATAGCCATTACTGAAAAACCTAACCGTAATACTGATACCTAGTCGTATACCGTAACCCGAAAACCTAAGCCTAAAGGCATAACCCTAACCCGAAAATCGGAAACCATTAACCGGTACCCTAATCCTACCTCAGACGTAAAACGGAAGCCAAATGGTCAAATGTGATTATGGAACCACACAAAATAGCCCCAGTAAACAAACCACCCAGCCACCTGTAATGCGGGGCCTGGCTACCAACTGCGATCTAGCCTTTCATTTCAAATTTCACGCTATCTCAATCTCATGGTCGCGGGGTGTATGAAGGCATCTCATAAGTACCACAGAGTTCAGAGAGTTACGGGGTTTTGAAAGGTGGCTCAGCTGAAATAACCTCACTCGACTGAAAATCTAGTATACTGAGACAACTAATCATGCTCATAAACAGACCCCCAGCGCCACAAATTGCTATTTCCCTGTATAAACTGAAGGGCGACGACAGAATTTCCGGGAGTTTTTAACTTCTATCGTTGTTAGCACGCAGTTATATCTGCTCGATCAACTGTGTGACACCCGGAGGCGGCTTCTTACCTCAGCTATGACGTTGTACTAAATAATGAGCTTCTAAGTCGGGTTATTGTCCACCTTTGAAATATGTCCGAAGCTAACAACATGAAGTTCGGGATAAAACTATGGATGTGTGTTAAGCAAGATTTGATGAGTACGGTATCCGCAGTCCATCGAAGTTTGAAGTAAGATAAAAGAACACTTAGGGGCTTCTCCACGTGATCACTATGCTTCCTAAAGACAGTAAGTTTTGAAAACGCTCCTATCCGACTAACTTTCAATTCTGCATTACGAAGTAAACTATGATTTTCTTTCAGCATTTGAAAGACAACATCAGGATTTAAGGGGAGAATTCGCATTCTCAAAATAGCCACGTCTTTGGTGATTTTAAAACAACGATCATGGTAGGTGGCCTAGCCGAAAAGGACGTGACCTTAGCTGGCAGGGCAATATTTTGGGACAGGACAATAACTAGGAGCGAGAACAGATGGAGGGGGGGACACCCGCAAATCAATCGGAACATTCAGCGGCCTTGAGAACACACCTTGCAGGCGGAAAACCTCACAGCACGCTAGGCCCCCCCCCCGCCCCCCCCCCCTACCCACCTGGGACACCAAATCTGGCGACCACGGCGGCGAACATCCCCGGTCTCACGGCTAAACATCGCCAGGAGACCGCATTGCTTCACGGGGTGGGAGCTTACAGAGGCATGTAAAAGCGGCCCACTCCCCACTGTGCCGCTGGTTACGCGGTGAACCGACTAGTTTCCGACGTTGAACAGCCGTAGATTTTGTTCAAAAATTCATATTAAAATGCAGCCATACTGGTGTCCGGCTCATCCTGTCTGAACTCTACTTCCACCACAAGCCAATAATGGCTTGTCAAAAATATTGGGAAAAGCCTAGAACGTTGTCAACATTTTATGAGATCGGTCGCTGATTGCAATACGTGACCTCTAAATTATAACTGGAGAGGAGTCGCTATCCCCTGGCCAGCTAAGGTGCCGCATTTTACACACGGCTACAGAATGTGTGTAGCCTTTATCACTGAGGCGTGGTAAAATTGCGTTGCCGCCCAATTACATGCTGTTGGCTAAGAAACCGACTAATGATAGGTTTGCCTTAAAACATCTAGACGGAGGGCACCTGAGGAGCAGTTCATTGTCATTTTAGGAGACGCACTGTTGAGAGGTTCCATCCTTGACGGTAGTCATTCCTTCAACACCATTCCTTTTTCACTGCAGTTGAAGTTGTGGTGAAGATATTTATTCTACTGTTCTGATTGGTTCGTATTGATCCCATTTACGAACTCTCCCGTAATCACCTCGAATCGCGGTAAATTATTTTAGTGAGGTTGTGTTGGATGACAAACATCTTGAAGTACGCACTAATGCCCAAGCCAAACAATTGGAACTTGGAAAAATTTCACCGAAACCGTTAAATAACGATTCTTGATTTCCACGCCTTTGATGATGGACTTAGAGTTCTACCTGATAAATTGGCCTTTCCGGTGGTCAAATACTCCTTCTCATACATAACAAATGGTAGGCAATCTAAACGTTGTCACTAATCACTGGTTTGCTAATCATCGATGGCCAGTGAGGTAGAGGGCTTCTGGTTAAAGAATACTTTTGACCTTCTAAGATAGCACTCTGAGTCTTGTTGCAAATAATTCTTTCTCTTATGTTCACTTCGTAGGCTTTTGTGGAGCCAAGGTGCTATCCGTTGTTTAACAGAATGCGGCAAGTAAAATGACTTTGAATAATGACAACCGATGTTTCAAAGGTAAACTACGCATGTGCTCTAATAACATTCGTTAAATCGAATTGAAGTAACCCTAAAAAAACAATCTAAGGGGACACAGTGATTTGCAGTGTAGTGTAAAAAAAGATAGTCACTTAGTGCCGTTTGTAACTGGCGTGGACGCTCGCGGTCTCACCTGCATGCAGAAGGGCATGCGGTCATTTCGTTCATATTTAGAGTTCTGGATTAAATCCGTCGTGGGAGAAACGGGATGCCCGTGATCTGGCCTGTTATCAGACACGATTGGTAGACGTCCGGGCCACGTGAATCTGGATACCTCCGTTCGCAGCTAAGGAGGGCGTAGACCCCTCCCGAAGTGACCGGATACCAGGCTCTGAGCTCAAATGAACTGGGGTTTAGATTTCCCTCTCCACACCACCGGGGGTTGGGCATGACCGACAGGTCCTTGGGGCCGTTTTTATTTAGGTTCTTTAAAGCTAGGGGGAATTGAGCAATGTTTACCTTCTTGAATAAATATTTCCACAGACTTATAAGGTCTTCCATTCATTTGACCCAGTGCTGATTAAATAGGCGAACTTGGCTATATTTGAACACAACGACAGCGAGGGCAAGACTTGGCGGCATACCAAAGCTCTAACCACCTGAGCTACGAGATCCCACTGGAGCCGTGAGTTTAATTATATTTGGGTTAAGTTTCCCGCCCGGTCTACTGCAACGTATGGAATCCGCCAATTTTGATGCAGCCAATTCACTGTACAGGCAAGTTTTCTAGGCAATCAGTCTAGAATCCACCGGATGACTATCAGGTTCAATAAATCAAATGGTGTTTCGTCAAGTCTGAATAATTTATCTTACCTAGCTGCGGAAAACTCGGCAGCCTCGATGCATAGTTTGACCCGTATGTGATACTTCTCACGGATAGCGATGGGGCTCCGTAGCTCAGGCAGTTAGAGCGTTGGCTGCACTCAATTCTTGCTCTTGTTGTCATGGGTACGAGTCCAGCCGACTTTGTTGAGGTCTTCACAGATGGGTCAAATGAATCAATTACATATAACAAAAACCACCACTTTACATGAACTTTTCTTGATGTATTTTGGATTGCTATTATGTAGTCTGCAGTTGAAGCATTATGCGCTGCTCCTAAACAAAAGGTATTATTATTCAATTTTAGAATTTCGGTTTGGTGAGGACGGTCAGCATTTGGTGGTCATTAATCTGAACAACGACTGTTCGAAGGGCGGTCAGGCTTACACCTGCGCACTTCGAAAGTTGGAAAATGTTCCCGTTGATCGCATCATCTTCAGTACTGGCAGTCTGATGAATATTCAGGTTTACGGATCTCCGGGTAAGCATTCCAGTGTCTAGTCTTTCATGTGGAAATTTGATTTGAAAACTCGCGGGAGGTGCACACATTTTTAATCAGTCTTCCTTCCGCTAGATGACTCGTCTTTAAAGTTAGCTTTTTTCCCTAGTGATTCTAAAGTGTGTGCGATGCCATTCCATTGGCATAAATAGAGTCAAAAAGGTTGACTTTGGCAGCATGCAGGAACCCTGAATATGCCGACAGGCGTCTTCGAGCTAACAGATGAAAGACAAGTTGCACAGCCCGCTGCTTATGATTGACGTCTCTCGATCAGGCGGATGCTTTTCAGCTGCACATATGCAAACTTTCGTTAAGGCTCTTCCTCTGCAACTTAGGAAAACATCAAGACGATAAATTGCAAAGGTTTTATAGTCTGGAAACCATTTGGCAAGGGTCAGTTATGCTGTCCTGGTCCCAAGTGTAGGTGCAATGTGGGCATTGAGGATAAAAGAAGCCGAAGGCGGATGATGAAATCGTTAGTGGGGAAAGTAGCCGAGGCTGAAACGGAGAGAATAAAGAAAGACTAGAATCCTCGTAATTGACATGGCTGACCGGACACGCGGGGAAGCAATATCCCAACCTAACGGTAATGTAATCGAGAAAATGATCGGCCAATATTTTGGACTTTCACCCTGCACTTCGGCTTTGACAAAGTCGTTTTATTTTATGCTGAGAGGCATCAGCAACAAAGATCTCTTGTTTAAGTAGTCATAATCATTTACTGATATTCTCCAACGTAATCGGCTGGCGTATCCGGGGTTTGAATCATTGACAAGGGGTGTAGTGAGCATTCGAGTCCAATAATTCTGCCTAAAATAGCTGGGTAATCCACTGTTAAATGAGATCGTGGACCTGCGGAGAGACCGGCCTTTACCGATCCAAATTGACTGAGGAATGACAACAGCCATTTCTGTCTTTTGCCTAAGCTTCGGATCTAAATCCGTTGTACAGTCTTGAGAAATCAGTAATCGAAGGTCGTTGATGGCAAAGATCAAGGTCGTCTAAAGAATCATTATTGATCGTCATCAGTTAGTGATGTACCTGATGGCCGACCCATCCGAGAATTGAATCCAGTTAGAGTTAATTCCTGAATTTCAAAGTGTAGCGCTCCAAACCCGAAACTCCAAGACAAAACTGAAATGTGTATTCAGCCGTCCGTGTTGTCACTGCTGACGTCTCTGATGCATACATCTAAATTCTATCTAACCAGCTGTAGGAACGGCGAAAAAAACAAGGGAAATGCTTAGTAGTGTTATTAGGCAACCTACAGCGTCCGTAGTTTTTCCCAAAAATTGAAATCACCTAGGTCAGTCGGTGAGTAAATATAACCCCACCTCTTTTGCCAGTAAACTCATTCGGTTTTCTCTTGAATTTACGTAGCTTTGATACATTTTATGTGTTGGAGGACGTTCGTAATTCTTAAAAACGGAGAGAGTTATAATGTATATAGCCTGTTTTATGAAGTTACTTGAAATGAACAAGTATCTCGTATTGTGTAATGACCACAAGTTAAGGCATCTGTACTGCGAGTAGTCGTACCTGAATTAATCCAGTCTAGTAATTCTATCAGCTTAAGGCGCGTCTATGGGAACAAATCACTGAAATTACTTCCAGTTAAGTAACCTAAGCAAGGACGTTTAGAAGTTCCTGGGAATATACTAGACGAACTTTGAGTAAACCCCTCGTGACGGTAATTTTTTCTGCCAACTCAGGGGAAAATGACACAGTTTATATGGGGGAAGATAGCTTTGCAACTGATAAATACACATACTGGCTATGTTTCTTTTAGCAGGTGCCTGGTTTTCAGCCACCATCAGTCATGCAGTGCAGTGGAGCGGTTCCTGCATAGGATAACTTTGCAGCACTATAACTAAAATGGAAGTTGCGAAGGTTACTGGCGTATTCCGCTGAGGTTGAAACCGCCAACACGATGTTCTAGATAACTGTCTAGTTTGAACCTGAAAATGCGTGTCCCGAAGATCGTTCTGCGAGTGCTTCTATTAAAGTTAAGTTCAATTCTGAACTGTGAAGTTGACATCGGGGTTACACGATACCGTACTGGCATCTGCGCCCTACGAGAAATCGTACAGAGAGGGCTTAAGGACCCGGTAATGAAGGAACCCTCTCGTAGTTGCGTTAATTTGCAGCGAAATCGAAAGCGTATGTCTGGGTTTTTACTTGGTATATGCGTTGGAAGCATGAGGGGACGATTTTGATTTATAGCCAACCAAAGCGGTCCCTCCTGAGCAGAAATTTCAAAACCGGCAATCTCTTTTCCGCCCGCTCCTGGTAGCATGGGTCTTCATGGGTGTCATCCCAGGACTTAAGCACGCCAAGGAATCCTCGTTTTTCTGAGTGTTCGATGAGAACCTACGTTATATCATTGCAGGACTATGAGAACGCAACAGCAACCGACCAGTTTGATAGTCTGAAAATGCAGGAGGGAGAAAATCTGCCTTACCTGACATCCTCGTTGTGTGATGATCCAGTTTTGAACACCATGGGGCTTCGAAAGGTGACTAACACAAAACAGATCTTCAGGTATCATAGCGACTACCTCATGATGCACAAATTTGACTGTGCTAGGACGCTTTTTCGGGGAATAAAACGCGTTTCGGCGGAACAGAGAGATGAGTACACGAAGTAAATCATCCTGAAAGCAGCTTGAAAGGAATGCCTACCCAGAGTGTCTCATCATTTGTTGCTTCCATACTCGACCAAGAAGGGCAAAAGAAAGAGAGAGAGAGTCACTAACGCTGTGTCGTCCTCTACCGTATATAAGTATGTATCAGAAGCAACGGATCGAATTGCCCCCGAGTTTGGCGTGGGCATTGCCCATCTTCCGGCAGTTGTCATGCGTACAAGAATCGGGCAAATGAAGGACCGACTGAATACTGGGGAGCAATCGGACGTAATTTATTAGATCCCATGCCAAGATTGACCTCGCCATTTTAGCGGTCAGACAGCCTGACGAATCAACCTTCAAATATCCAAACACTAACGGGCCGTTCGGATGATCTGCTATCTCACGTCACTACCCACATCATGGAGAAAGACCATAACTTTGACTTTACGAGGTCGTGGATGCTAGGAAAGCGAAAGTTACTGGGGGCCTACGTCCCTGACTCCAACTCTCACGTCACTACCCACACCATGAAGGAAGACCACAACTTTGACTTTACGAGGTCGTGGATGCTAGCAAGGCGAGAGTTACTGGGGGCCTACATCTCTGACTCCAACTCCATAAACAGACAAGCTGATATATCCTCTGTTACCACGTGTGGCGTTCACATGGTCAAATGGCACCGCCAGGCTCCCATCCAAAGGACGCACACGGTCATCAAACCGTGAGACGGCCGAGTCAGATGGCAGGCATCCAGCCCAGCCCAGAGACACAACCTCCCCCTCCCCCTCATTAACCCACTGGGAAGCTGTTCAGTCGTTGTTGCTCTCATATAATTTCTAAAGGTGGGCTCCTCTACGAGTCCGAAAGCGCAAGCTAACACAACTTTCGTTCCAACATTTCTCGTCGTTGCAACTCGCATACTGGTCTCTACTCATTAAATCTTCAGACAAGGATGGGTCATTTCGAAAAGCACAAATAAATCTAAGAAGCGAAACTACGCGAAATTGCCGTACCTACACGTACTCACACATGTCAAATCTTATCGCTTTTCTTATCGTGGTACGCAAATACGTATTCACACCTATCCACGCACGGCAAGTCTAATGGCTTTTCTTACCGTAGTACGCAAATAACTCCGTGATATTAAATGATGACGCCAAAATTGCCCTTTCCTTCAGTTTTTCCGCGCAATCTCAGCCAGTTTTGGAGACCACGTCATACAGGTCCAACTTCAGCTGCATGTTAGATTATTTCCACCTCGATGCTGACGGCGGTCATAAAGCAGACATTCCCTCTTTGGCCCACTGTAAAGGCCAAAGTAAATAAAGCTGTCAGAAGCTATGCGTACGAAAGTTTTGGTGAGTGTGCTGGCTGGTGGAACAGGTGACTAGGTGTCTCCCAGCCCTGCGTTTCGCAGGCCAATCGCGTTTCTGGGTGGCTATAAAATGGCAAACGGTGTGTCTGTCAAAAGGAAAGTCGTATATAACTTGCCTTCCTCTAGCATCAGGTGTGTTTCGGCTTTCAATTCGATTTTACTCATTTACCTCGTGTCTGCGGCAAGGCGGTTTCATCTGCTCTGGCGCTGTCGCGTTGGCTAATATGTGCCCCTGTGGGTATGGGGTTAACTACCGAGGCAACCAAACGACTTCCGGCTCTGTAGACGCCAAATGTCAAGAAATACTTTGGTGACGTGATTTTGTAAAGTGCTACTGTTTGAAGAATAATTCTTCTAGCTTGAGCAAGTTTCGGGTGTAGTCGTAAACAACGTCCTCAGAAATGATGGTGAATATCCAGCGATTTTGGGATGCAGTAGCTGCGACTGTGGCCAGGACAACTAAGAGGCTGGATAACTGAGTGCACATTAATCCCGTCAAGGAGACTGTTTCACAGTACGCCGGACAGTTTGTCACATTAAATTCCGAGAAAACTGTATTTGATGGCAGATTTCTATTCGTGGTTGTCATGACGTATCATCACTTTCTTATTAATGTGCTTTGCCTGAATCGGCTGCATTTTCGTAGGCTAAATCTCTTGTCTGTGTTTTTTCGTGTTGTAGCTTTTTGATTTCCCTAGAAATTAACTGCGAACTTGGAGTAGATCAGTATATTCAAGGTCGATGGGCACAGACCTTCGTATTTATCCATGAATATTTGGGCCGAAGTCTACCAGTCACAGCGGATAACCACGTAATATTCATTAACTGCCCGCAAGCAATTAGTAGTACTCTTTAGGGTAAGGTGATTCCATAGTAACGGCACAGGTAGTAGCAAAAAGCCCATACGCGCGTGCTTCGCCGATATTCTGCCGCTGCATGACACAGCTGCGAGGGGTTCGGTTCGTCAGTGGGTCCCCCGGCATTCCCTGTCTGTTTTTTGTTTAGCCAGACCTATTTTTTGTGGAATTAAAGAAGTGCGAGTTTATCATTAAGCACCTCGAACAGATGCGTATTTTACTCAGAATTCAGAAACAGGCTTAAGTTTGGCCGAAACCATAAGGTTAGAGCTTTTAGTAAAACTTTAGTTCAACGAATGACTTCAAATGGCTATTTTTGTGGCTGTTTAACAAATAAATAAAATTTAGTTGGGAAAATTCCCACGGCGGTATTCAGAAGACCAGTTGGCGAGCATACGTTTGCTTTCGATAAATTTTCGTCAAGCTAGTACCTATATACTGGAACGGGTTAGGAGCAAAAAATGTGAGTGATAAGAGAAATTAATGAAAGATCGTCTTAAAGCATAGACGGGATGTGGGAATATGGGGGAGGTGGGGGATAATGGCAGTCAATGTCTGCGAAAGGGTGAGAGCGGAAGAGCGCGGAGAGTTGCAGCATTAGTCGACTTTTGACCACGGTAAGCGCGGAACCTGAACGTGGTTCTTCTGGCCTCATAGAGTAGGTTTCCGTAACCTGATCGCTGTCGCTGATGTTGTCACCAACATGCTTTGGCCCAGTAGCTTAGGGTAGCTCGAGGGGACCTTATAAATCACACGTAAAGCCTTGCCGGGGTTCACACGATGCCCTAAACCAATTACATACGTGAGAATGGCGCCGCTTATGCTCCTGGTTTGGCCTTTTGCCAAGCATGCGTGGAGGTGTTCTCATATTCTTGTGGATAGACGCCGGATCGTACGACCAAAATTACGTGCTCCACAAGAGCACGTGAAGGAATAGATGCACATTGAGGTGGTCTGGGGTGACAACCTGCCCTCACCTTACTTACGAAAAATATATTTGGAATAGAATAATATTCGGATGCTTGCTGTAGGAAAGGTTCAAGCGACAGCTTGATCAAGGCGTCTTTTTAGGAGTTAACTTGCAGCGTCCCGTTTACTAGGGACTTTAAGGAACAAGGTTTTCTTTTTGGCAGTCGGTGTAGTGGGTTTCACTGATCGTTCGTCCATGTTATTTGCAATAAACTTCTCTACAACAGTCCAAAGATCCCGCGGTGCTGAAGGCACTCAATGGGTACCCAAGTTCCAACGCCAAGTTTTGGAGAGGAAGGTAATGGCTAAGTTAATCGGGGGCTGTGTTGTGAGAAACGAGCATCCAAACCACTTCTGGAGAGCGCTGTGGCGTTGTCGTGCAGTTCTTACCACAGAGACCTTGAAAATATACGCTGAGAATCAACTGGAATGTACCCTCGTAAAGACAGATGCACTTGAGCGCCATGTGTGTCAATGCACAGCCATACTTGACACCCTGACAGATGACGAAAGACAAGAATTCCCGCGCCTGTTAGTTCCAGCATTTCTCTGGCATTAAACTGGTACCTTCAGGGTCAGTTTTTCAGTAGCTACAAGTCGGCCTCCTGAGGTGCATGCTTAGGAGTTAAAGGGAACGACGACTAATAATGCCCATTGATGCTATTTTCACTTGAATTAGTCTGAAAAACTTCAAACATGTAACAACGCCGAGGTCGTTGTACCCGTTGTTGCATTTAGCAGACCGAAATCACATCAGGCTTCAGATCTAGCCTGGAAAGCATTCTAGAACCTCGTTTGATCAGCAGCAGTCTACTTGGACAAATTATTAATCCCATTATTAACCTCGCGCCTGATGTGAGGCCGCAAATGCTTTTTCGTAACTCCTTCCGGAACTTCGGAGAGCGAACTGTGTGTTTTTAGACATGCCAGTTGTGCGCCCACTAGACTGCACCTGACTACAGGCAGGTATGCGCGAACTGTAACATTAATTATTTCACCAATAATGGCGGCAGTGTTGATGCCTCGACAAGGGCAGGCCACTAGTTACCATGATGGGCCAAGCTGATGTGTATGATTCATCATGCCTGAACACGCACGCCCGAAATCTCTGTGGGAGCAATGACGTGCTGGTGAATCTCGGATACGAATCCCCCGGACACCCAGGCCGGCAACAGAGATGCCCTAACAGGATGATATTTAATCGTGACCTGCAACATCTACCGACACGGTTTCTGAAATGACCCTTGGCTGCTGGTTTGTGGCTTCAGAAGAGGAGCGGTGGTCGGTAAGTCCCACGCCCCTGTGACGTCAGTCGGCCTGGCCGAGGGGGGGGGGGAGCAGTTTGATAGGAAGCGAGGGAGGAGAAGGGAGGGAGAAAATAGCTGATTGCGAGCACGTGTAACGGGCAACCATGTAAATGCTGACGCAACCACCGTCACCGGTGGCACCAGCATATGCGAACACACGTGAGTTCCGGAAATGCTCGCGCGGGCGTATGTTTCAGTGATTTTATCAGTGCGGCTTCTTACAGATGCGGCGTAGGATCCAATGCTTACACAGAACCTCTTAAACCTCTTTCCTTCTTCTTCTTCTTCTTCTTCTTCTTCTTCTTCTTCTTCTTCTTCTTCCACATCTTCTTCTTCTTCTTCTTCCATATCCTCTTCTTCTTCCACATCTTCTTCTTCTTCTTCCTCAACATCTTCTTCTTTTTCTTCTTCTTCTTCTTCTTCTTCTTCTTCTTCTTCCATATCTTTTTCTTTTTTTCTTCTTCCTCTTCCACATCTTCTTCTTATGCCCGTCATCATCATAATTCTCACCACCATCATCACCGCCATCGTCATCTTCTTTTTTGCATTATTTTTAGTGGTAGCATTGGTGCTGTCTAATGTATCCTGATTACTGGGGTGAATATGTGCGATTCCATTTTGCCTTAGGGCAGTAGTCGAGAAGCCTCGTAGACGATAAAATAGTGACGAGCGGTCGAGATTAAAGTGGCTAAGACAGGTATTTGGATTATGATCGTCTGATAACTACAGCCAAGTCCTAACCGGTCACTTCAGCCTCTATTGCTTCTTCTCGTGCTACCCCATCTTCGCCGTAGTAACAATGTCTCTACTGTCCTCATACTCATCGTCATCAATCTACTTTTGTCTTCCTACTATGCATATTTAAGCGACATTAAAGGCACCCTCGTTACTCAAAAGGCAAAACACAAACTCTGATCTTGTGAATACCCTGTTACTCATGTAGCAGTTCAAATCCGCGTCCACGTTCATCAAGGGAAAAGTGAAGAAATGGCCAAATAGACTGCCCATTTTGTCCTGAGGGCGTCCATCGAGTCTTGAGTCTTGCATGTGGTTTTACTGGTAGACTGGCTTAGTGTAAATCCTGACAGTATGTGCTCCAGGAGCAGATCTGAGTCGACATCTGAAATTACGGGACTCCTACAGCCTCTGACCACTTTTCGGGGAGTCCGAACATTTTCTGGATGCAGATGGAATCAGCGCTGTGGCGGGTGTTTAAGATATTGTGGCCGATTTTCGTCAAGATTTCAGCGTTTCATTTCATTTCTAAGTCCGCGCGGTCGTGTTGCCATCTTAGTGACCGTTTGACTAGCTATCGACCGCGGTTGGTTTCCTATTGTGACTTATTTAATTTTTATGCCCTTAGTGATGGCGGATCAGCGGGTTATATCCAGGTTCAGGTCAGACGCAGTGTGCTCACCTGTCATTGAGGGGTTCTTTTTGTGGGGGAAGACACGCTCATGCCTCGGCGCAGTTCTCCCTCCACTGCTGATGAGTTGGTCTGCAGGCATCTTTCGTTGAAACTTTTACAGTACCCATCGTTTACAAAGCCAGTCCAGAAAAAGCAGTAGACTACGCATACTGTCAATGGCCCACTCTGACTTACTTACATTCTTTGCTTCCCAAAGCCGTGGATTTGAAGGCTGCCAGTTGATGAGATAACACAGTCAGTCAGTCTGAAATGTTTCTTTCCTAATGTGATATCTGAGACATTCTCACCTAGCTCGGACCCTAGCCGTCCCCACGTTATTGGTTCTATGAGGACCTGGTCCGCCGTGCGTGGCACGCGTAGACGATCTGTTTAAATTTGCCAGACGCTGCATCCCATCCCGCCTCCGGTCATCTAGGCCCTGTCATGACACGGGGCTCAGGTGGGTGGGGGGAAGGCAGCGTGCGAAAGTCCACTATAACTACAAACTAACTCGTGCGCAAATCACCGTCCCTGTGACCACCATTCTGAGGGACACGCGGTGGACATCACCGTTCGCAACAGTCGAGCCGTCGGTCGTTACTTTACCTGAGAACCTGCGTTGTGTCAATGGACTTTAAAATATGGGGTAAGATGTGGTTTGGTAGCCCCACCTGATGGACAAAATACTGTTGGGTTTGGGGTTAAGGGCTAGGGGTTAGGGTTAAGGATTACGGTTGGGCTTTATGGTTAGAGGCTACGGTTTAGGATTAGGGGTTATAGTTAGGGACTAGGGTTAGGGTTGGGGGTTAGCGCAATTATTTCTCGATCATTAAATGCACAACCACGCACTCGCAATAGCTTTTTTGCATACAAATGCTTGACCTCGTCGCCTGTGCGTTCCCCGTCCCCACCTATAAAAATTCCTATCCCCACCGGTCCCGTATGAGAGGTGACTGGGGTTTGTTTACTTCAGGTGGGGCTACAAAACCACATCCGACCGAATATGGCTATTTGTTAACTGTCACCCCTTCGTCCTTTTACTCGTACATCACTTAAATACAGTGGTGAACACTTGGGCTGATGTTTTTGCTAGGCCTTCTGAAGATTTTCAGTCGGACAATGTCCGTGAACGCAATGGGGCTAAAACTTTTTTCACAGTGTCCGAACGCACGACCTTTAAAGCACAGCTTTTGAAAAAATCTCAAAAATCAGGAATCCAATATGTCCGTGTGTACGTTTCCTTTGCATACATATGCACATTGCTTTCACTTTAGCTACAAGTATACTGGAGATGCCTGACTGAGACGGCAACAGATTTTTCAGGCCTTATCAACGTTCATCATTTTCGTCGCTGAAAGAAAGAAAGCATAGCAAATTCATCTGCGATGAGCCAGCAAACAATCCGGACGTGAGTGCTCGCGGCACTGGCTAGACGACATCTCTATCCTGGCTACGCATTGGTCAATCGTTGTTGTTGGGGCATGACTCTATTGGTCCAGGGAATTCTGTGGGGGCGGGAACAGGCCGGCGCGAAGGCCGGGGCACCGTCTGTCTTGGCGCAGTTTGTCCGTCCTGTGTCAACAACCCCACGGTGAGACCAGTCCTTAGGTCACACCTAGACGAGTGCGGGTGGCGCGGTCACCGTTGCTGAGGCCTGCGCTTTCAACGATCATTGGGTGGCGTGATGATGCCGGGAACAGCCCCTCAGAATGCATCCTTTGGCCATTTGGAGGAAAGGGCAATGGTGCGGGCGTAATGCGACCATGCGCCATGCAGGGGGGAGACATGCCTGCGACCTCAATGAATTTGCGCGCAGGGTGTGCGGTCATCTTGCTCGCCACCTCTACTGACATTATGTCCGTTTGAAGGAGTAACTGTTCCCCTCCGCACCTGTCCTCACTAGTCTCTAGGGCACAGCAGGGCAACTAGGCTACCATTTCGGCGTGCTGTCAGGAAAGATGATCGCGATGACCGAAGTGAGGGTTAGGATACATCAGAATTGGCTGTCCCAGATTAGGGTTCTGGACGATAGAGTAACGTAGTCAAGACATCTTTTTCAATATACGTTACGATATATTTAGCGCTGAAATGACCTTAGGCGGTTGTTTTTCCCCTTTTGGGGTGACCGGTTGTCTGCATTTAAAATTTCTCCGGTATTTTCCCGGCATGAGAATATGTGTGGCCTTTGCAGTCCTGACGAAGTGAATGGCTCAAATCTTCACTGGCTCCACGGAAATGGGTTGAAAATTAAAAGAGGAAGTGGTCCGGCCCTCTTTGAACACTGCAGGCCACACCGTCCCTGACTTCTTTGATAAACCTCCGAAAAGCCAGCATATACAGAAGGAATAAAAAATGATTTTCCAGGCGTTGCTCGAAATCGGTACATACGAAACATCAACAGAAGAAATTTCCCGGCCTGTGCTACATGTGGGCTTTTGCAGAGACCTGTTATAGGCGAAAAGAACGTAAAGCATTTTCTTTGCTGTGGCGTCCATCAAAGTGTACATTCAAATGGTAAAACGATTCCTACTGGCTCTGTATTCAAAGGAGATTTACGGCCGTCGCATCTGTAGGCCTCCAACAAGAAGAGGGAGGATATAAGACTAAGATTAGTTTGGAAAGTAAGAACCCAGCTTGATTTTATTTGCAGGGATGAAGGCATCCGAGATCAATCTGTTGTAGATACCATAGGCAGGATTGCGCTGAAGGGGTAACCTATCCCTTAACTTTTGTCAGGCCAACAAGGACAGCGTAGAAATTGCATACTTTGACGTTCCTCTAGCAGCTCTCGGGTGAAAAGTGTCATGCTGTTAATTCAGCGACCTTTACGAAATCCACACAAATTTCTGCGAAAATCGGGCCAAGACCTTATAAACAATAAGGATTAAGAAGATACTCACGTACTTTTCTTGGAGCTGTCGATGTCCTTGCCAATGAGCACAAACGAAAGTTCGTTAAGTCGTGCTGAATTTGTCTTTTGTTATAACCTTTCCCAAGACAAGGAAATGAGTTTCGTAAAATCAGGAGATCATCATATGGGGATACTTGGGAGTTATTATTTCTACGATACCAATTTTTTCCATTGGAATATACTAACCCGAGGTCAAAGCTAATTTCGGGAGAGAGTCAGAGTAAATGAGATCAACGTTAGGGAGAAGGACCCCAATTAACTGTTAAAAAGACTGTGAATCGTGTGCTGATATATTTAGTTGCGAAAGTTAATTAAGTAAGGATGACTGGTAGTTGTATCCAAGTCCGGCGAAACAAAGAACGGAGATCAACTGAGCATGAATTGAGGTGTAACGGAAACGTCTGCCAGGGAATGGGCTCAGTGGTTCGATGGCCAGGCATTCTTTCAAGATGGAACACTATGGAATATCTAGCTGGATACCCTGTAGTCATACATTTATCATTTTTCTGTAGAGCATCGTTTTTGGCGCCAATCGTCTTCCCTGTTTTCCGGCATTCTATCAGCTTACTGTCCGGCGTGCAGCCCTACCCGCAACCTCCCTCCATTACCACCATTTCCGTATACGAGATACATGGTATACTGACAGTTAATTGGGGTCCTTCGCCCTACCGTTGCCTCATTTTCTCCGACTCCTTCATGACATTAACTTTGGCCTCGGGTTCGTATACTAAAGTGCATAAGTGAAGCTGCGGAACTGTTAGGATCGAATCGACCAATGGGAAGGTAGACAAACTGTTTGAATACACGGTCCCACTACTGACTGGTAGTTAGTAGTAAAACGGAAATGCAACAGGACACGGAGTAACTTGAAGTTTCTGTTAAGTAGGACAAATCAGGATGCGCACCTCACAGGAGCGTACTTAGCACACGCAGACTATTGGGAACGTAGGCAAACTATTTGAATGCGGAGGCTTGCTACTGATGGGCACTTAGTGATAAGGCGTAAATGCAACAGTTGGATGAATAAAACGCGACCGTCGGCCTTCGCTTTTATTTGACAGCGGTTAGGGGAATAGAAAACGTGCTTTTTGCGACTGTCCAGTGCTCGGCCTGCAACATATAGGCCGCCTCCACCCGTGTGAGGTGACTTGTGCCTCCCCTCACTGGCAATTCTCAAAGAAGAGTTGGTTTGTCCTCTTTTGGTCCCGACAAGAAGGGCGATTACAAGGCGTCGACCTTGAATGGGTAGCCACACCTCGTAGAATGAGCCGATACTTGGAGGTTTACGTCACTTCTCTGCACTGTTACCACGTGTTCGGCCGCTCACGTCCGGAGCAGTCTTCCAGTTTCTCCGACGTATTTGCTTTTCCCGTGTCTATGCTGGATCCAGTGAACGATTCCAGACCTTCTTTGTCATGGCAGTGTGTTTTTGGTCACTTTTGATGACGTCTGATGGTCATCTCTCACTCCATGTGAAGCGAGAATGCGATAGACGGCCTTAGCGACGTGTTTAGCGTACGAAATTACTCTTAAAAATTTTGTGCCGGTGTAATTTGGCCCCCTCATATATAAAGCGCAGAATTTTGTTCTGTGGACCACCCTTCGTTGCATAGCCTAATCATGGTTAGGCAGATTGTTCTAACAAATATGTTACAGCAAAACTGATGGCTTGGAGCATATTTACTGTTCGTTTATAGCTATTCTACCAAAAAGATGAGGGTAACCAGCAGTGTCATCTTGTGCGCAACCATCAACACCGTCACCGCAATATTTGCGGACACTTTGCATTTGGCTTTCGTGCAACCTGCCATAATGTCAATGATAATTTACATAAGTCGCAAATGTCAGTTCACATGACACTTCAGTTAATTCCAAGGACATTAATGAGGTTCCGAGACTCCGCCGTCTTTTCTGGTACATACTCTAGTTTCTAACGTCAGTCTCTTAACTTCCTCAGAACTTAATGCGTGGACCTGGGGTAAATGACTCGCGGGAAAGTTTTTTTAAACTCGGCTTGAAACTTCATATGACTACTAGAGCTGACGTTCATCAGTTTTAGCAGAATTAGCTGCATAGTACTCAGAGTCTGTCAGTAGTTAGTCAGTAGTAGACGAATGCTGATTGACTTGCTCTAATTTATTTACGCAAAATTTTGCTGACAAGCAACATCTATGCTCCTCCAATTTGTCTCCAGTTAACTACCCGACCCTAAGGCTGAGAACCCAAAAGGAGAAGGATGGTTTCCGACTCGCCTGCTCCGTGGACAGCTGCATGGAGGACAAAGATGCCCTGAAAGGCAGTGCGACCCAAGTCTGCCAGCGGCCACCGGGCACACTGATGAGTTGCCAAGGCCTAGAGTTGGAACGTCTTCCACCGGCGCAAGAGCCTCTTGGCAGAAGTGATGAACACTCAGTGGTCCTCGTGAAGGAGGGTGAAGTTACCCCGCACTGGTCGGAGATATTACCGGACCTGCAGATCACTGACAGCTCACAGTCGAGTCCTGTGGTGAAAATACCCAAAAGTGAGTGAACACTCTGGCTCTTGGGTAAAGGTGCTGCAAACCTTTAAGTAGTTGCCTCAAAAGCATAGAGCCGTATTTCTCCTGTGTAGGAGACTTCCAATTCCCGCACCCATGGTCAAAGTTCGCGGAACTAGTATATCGCGTCTAATCAAATGTAAACGTTTCAAAAGCTCTTTTCGTCACATCTACCCGTGGTTGCCATTAAAGTGATCTGCTTCCCACAGAAAGGAGATTCATCGGATAAATCTATTGCTCAAACGGTGACGCAGCATTCATAATGTTTTGCTAAACTTCCACTTTTGCCTGATAATTATTTCTTCGTCTGTGGAATGAAGGCCTTTAGTATTAGTATTTTTAGTGGAATCCTGGTTTATTCTAGCAAAGCAAGCCGGCTTTTGGGCCGAAATCGAGTAAAGTTAAATCTGTTAATCACGCCTGATCTTAATTCAAAAACCGGGCTTCTTGCTTCTTTCCCTATTTCGCGATTCGTCTGTCTAAATTCTCGCACAGTCGCCCTCCTTATGGTATGTATAACTTCTCCAGCATTTCGCAGATACAAAACGGTGCAGAAAGCCAATTCAAGAACTTAACGGAATTAAGGCCATCATAAGTAGCGGTAATAACACAGATTAGTAAAATTACGTCTCAGCAGACAGAGATACATGCAAACGAGTGTCTTCTAAGAATTCTAAACGCGACAGGCGCTGAGAGAAAAATTCAGATTTATCCCGAATATTCTAAGTGAATTTGGATGCCATTCGACGCCTCCCTTGTCGGCGTAACAGCAATCTATATTTGAAAGTGAGAAGATCGTCGAACAAACTGAGTTGCTTGGTGTAGTCAAGGAAGGGTTGGGGAGCCCCATTCCCAATTTGTCAACCCTAAATTTGAGGCATAAGGCGTAGCTGACGTGAGTTGTTTGTAGTGCCACTGCACAAGCATTCCTGTGCTGGCTCAGCGAATATGTATTTAAGCTATTTTATACACGTTAGTTTGATTCAAGCATTTCTGCTAAACCGTTTGCCAAAATTTTGTGAAACAATTTGAGGATGAAACGAGCGTAGGGGCAGCATAGGAAGGAGCCTTTTGGAAAAGGATATTTCACAGGGCCACAGAGGGTTGAACGAAGTAATTTTAAAACGAAGGTTAAGTTAGGCCGCAATTAATAATTCCGAGTTTATCATACCTAACAACTGGAACAATAGTAAGAGGAAAACGTCGTGTCATTGTAAACGATTAAATTATATTGTTGTTGGTTAATATAAAATCGCACCGAAAATTCTTCCCCATGACTCGGAACATTGTTGGAAGAAACTTCCTTCGACGGGTATTGATCATCGAAACTTCTCCTAAAGCCTATAATAAACACAAATTAGGTTGCATGTGTTACCAACAGTTGTCGTTTCTTTGCCTGTCAAAGGTCGCTTGTTCGAGGAATGGGTGTGTCATCAGTGCAAAATGAAATGCGCTGTATCCTCCCTCCCCATCTATGCCCTGCTTAACCAGAACCCACATTTGCGTCGACTTCAGTGTATATTCCAAAGCATTTCGTGCCAAACCCGCAGGAATAGGCGAAAGGTACTCAGGCATTTGGCCGGTAAAACGTTGACTACACTCTCCATGCTGCCGTCTTTCGGCTAATTCGTCTTCGACGATAAGCGTAGACAGTTAGACATCCTGAGAGCCTAAGTAAACCAGTGAAAATAAACTCAAACGCATCTGGCACAGATGATTTCAGTTTGAGAGCGTAGAGGTGGGAAATATGATTTTACCTATTAATTCGATGTCATTCGGGCGAAGGGACTCTTGTTGCAACATTTGGAGTGGATCCTCATCCATCAGATTGTAATTTGTAGTCCGTGTGCACAACGATTGAGTTCGTTGTCCTCAAATCCTGTTGTATTACGTTCTCCATTCTCTTCAGTTGATTTCTTCTCGTGCAATAATGTTGTCGTCGATTTTTTTCTGTTATCGTTTTCATCCTTTTGAGCCCATGTCCGTACACAGGACTAGATTTTGGCAAAAAAAACCACTGCATAGCGGCTGCACCTATAGAAACGCGCACTTGCATAGTTGGATATAAAATTCATGCTTTCCACACTGTTACTTGTAGCCATCAACAGTCTGTGTTACAGCAAAAATTCTAGGTGTTGGCCTTTCGTTTTTACTTCTATAATGCGTGGAAGTTGAAGGACTTAAACGAAAAGAAAAGATCGGTCCATGTCGAATTCCTCGCTGTTGAAGGAAACCACCGTCAAGCGGATGCATTGTACCCCGCGGTTTGTGGTCAGCCAACGAATTTTCGCAACGAGCGGAAATCTTCAATCAACTACATTTTGTGTACTGATTGAGAAAGTGCAACCCCATTACATCTACTTTCTCTTATAGAAGACAGTGGCTATATACAGGAGGTGACCTAACTCGTAAAATATACCTACTGTAGCACAGTTTGCCAACCAGTGCATACGAAAACGATAACAGAGACCAAATCCAACAGGCCTCAACTTTTGCCGGGCTCTTCCGTACGTGAAGTAGGCCCCGGAAGCTATCAGTCGTCTTCTCACTCCACTTGGAGTTGGGGTTGTAAGACCCGCAGGCGCCAAGTCATGAGGCCGAAAGACCCACTGCCACGACAGGAAACGTCAGGAGTCGTTTACCGGATCTGGTGTAGTTGCGGACAAAGCAACTACGTCGGAGAAACTGGGAGAGTACTCCGGACGCGAAGTGCCAAGCTCGCAGCAGCAGTGAGGCGGGGAGACGCTGGCTCTCAGGTGGCGGTTCATTTGAAGGGACTCGGCCATATTTTCAAGTTTCAAGAAGCCGAAATCCTCGCAAAAGGTGATAACCGCGTGAGCCGCGAGCTGCTCGGGTCATGGTTTTCAGGTCAGCAATCCATCGACAAGTGCAATCACCTGCTAACATATTCTGTGCTCAGATTTTCCCTGGGCAGGGGAATCAGTCACGTGGGGAGGACGCGGGTGGTCACTAATTCCAGTGACAATGAGTCAATTTGCCGAGCAATCGTCACAACGGCATCCAAAGCGAATGACGAAATCGCGGCTATTAACGACTCGGGCGCGGACTGACAAATCATCAGCGCATCAATTACGACCCCAGCTGTGATTGTGAGAGCTGTTGATTAAAGTACGCATATGACACCACGGCAGTCACCTGATATATGTACTGTACTCCTTGTGCCACGACTACCCTTACCTTCGATTATCTCTGATGATGGGTTCAATGAGAATCCGAAATATCAGGCAAATAATTTTCTTGTTCCAGTGATCGTGTCCTAGTCTTCCGAATCACTTATCAATCTGGAACCAGCCCGTGTGCAACCATCAAAACACCAAACAAATAATAAACGACCTCTGCTGAAATGGGAGCGCAGAGCATGTATTACGGGTACCATTTCTCAAGAGAGATTGTAAGTGGTGAAAGCGCAAGAATTCGAGCCACAAGGACAGACTCAAATTTAGCATGTGCATAACGCCTGTACAGTCGGGGAACTGACTAAGTAGAACGGTTTGAAAACGGCAGCATTCAAAAAATTGTTATTAACATACGCTTTAATAAAATATCCTCCAAGAATTAGTGTTATACGAAGTATGACATGAAATAAAGTGTGTAGTGTCCTGCCGCGGGTTTCAAGATCTTGTTGGGCAAAAGCAATGATTTTTTTTCGTTTTTGAACTGTTTAAAATACGGCTATTTCATCAAGGAGAATTTTGCGCGAGTTCGCTGGCAGAGATCTTGCACGAATACGAGTTTCAAAGACTTTACATATCGATGGGCAAGTTGAAGTGAAGTGTGCCGTATGGGCTCTCTATCTCAAGCCCAACTAGCAGCCGCACAGCAGCGCATGATATAGGCAGTGCGTATGCGGCTGCTGGTTGGGCTCGGGAGAGAGAGCCCGTAAGGCACAACGGAACGAGTGAGTTCCGTAAGAACGATCGTTGAGCGTCCCCTACCACTGTATATTCCCGATCGAAAACCGACAGGGCAACGGGCTCGTGGCCCAGTGGTTAGAGGCGTGAACTTCTAACAAACAGGTCCCGAGTTCGTGCCTCGGGTGTTTCACACTTTGGGTTTGGGTATGGCTGGCTGACGACGGTTAATAAGCCGGGAATGGCCATTCTAGTCTCCCTTCTCTTTGTCGGAAATAACACACTGACGACCATTTTTACCTTTAATAATCCTTTGGGAAAATACAGGCGTTCATTGAATACATTTATATGCCACATATAGTCGCCTACTCACAGCCAGTTTTCCGCTCTTTGCAGAATACCAATATTACGGTCAGTACAAATGCTCCTGTACTTCCACGGACGTCCTCGGCACAAGGATCAGCTCAGGGGAAACGAGTTTTGAGCCAACCGAATTTGATTCAGGCAAGTTCCTCCTTCTCGGTACTTATGATTGTTTAAAGGAGAAAGACCAAATAAGCGCGTCCACCATGGTTGATTACCACATTTCGGTGATGGTGGTACTGTTGCTGCAAGGATATTTATCAGCAAAAGCTCGTATTGTGTAGACAGACAGGCTTTGTAAACTGTCGTGTCATTGCGCCGCGCACCAAAATTTGATCTTACTAAATGGCTGTTTCTGAGTCGGAGGTATTTCAGCCATAACGATCTATTGGGCTCCCCAGTTGCTGGAACGGCTCAAGAGGATGTGATTCCCTGGAACCGAAATCATGCTGTCGTTTAGTGCCACTTCTTTCTTCTCTTCGATCCCACAGGACCAGGCAGTCAAAACTGCCAGGGGAGTTCGATAACGAGTACAAGGACACCGATAGACGGTAAAATGGACACATCTCATCCAACTATTTAAATTCTCCTTTAATGCCTGCTTCGCCTCTTAAGAGATAACGTATATGTAGGCCAAAGGAGACGCTAAAGGAATCTCCACTCTGGAGCTTTATCACAGAGGTGCATTCCCAAAAAAGCAGAGAATCTGGATTACTCAATCTATGGGTGAAAATCTTAGACTTGATATGCTCAACATCCCTTCGTGATCATAAAGCCAGAACATGTTCTAAGAATTTCATAGCGTCCTGAATTTCATCTCACCTGGCAATGGGTCCAATATAGAGGCGGAAGGCGACAACCAACTACCGTTACTTGATGAGAATCAAAAAATGCGATCTTTTCGAGGGCATCCAACATGAGCCAAATCCCGATCTACCACGTAAAGCACCCATAGGCCACACACGATGCAATGATGCAATCTGTTGTGGCTAGATCGGAAAATCTGTCTCAACCCGCATACATGGGCACCAGTCAGCGGTGAAGAGAGGAGATCATTTATCCCAGGTGACTATGCACACACTAGACACTGGCCTCCGAGCTGCATGAGAGAATATTCGCATTGCTGGCGCCTGCCCTTTAAGAAGAGGCCGTGAATTCCTGGAAGCAATGCAGTCAGATGAGGCACGCATAAATAGGCATATCAGTTTAGATGCCACATACAAATATCTCAAGGAAAAATGGAATTGAGCTCAGCCAATTCCGAAGGGATGACGAAATATCATTGGCGCGCATTGGCGTAGACTTCGGCCAACCACGGAATCACTTGTTCGACACGGTTGAGATAGTTAACTGTTTCTGTACATAATCCAGACGTCTGACGACGAGCTGGGAAACCAATGTCAAAAATGTACACAACAAAGACTATTTTGTTCCCAAAGAATCTTACATATTACAAATTAAATTTCCTGCAATGCTCGTTTTTCAATAAATATACATATATACATGTAACTGTGCAAAACAGTTACCCTTTTAACAAGCATAAAAGTCGATTTTCCCCTGGCACTCCTGCTGGCGTTATGTCCTGATTTGACAATGCCTTTTCCTTGAGGTTGTTGTACACAGCATCAAATTCTACGTACCGGTTAATAGATGTGTTTTCAGAATGGATGGCCTACAAAATTCGCGGCCTTTCTTAGATGAGCAGACAACTACAATGCGAGTCTTGTCCCAGGCTGATTCGTGTCCTGTTTCCAGCGTATGCATGGTAACTTTGGACGAGTGGTATCGCCTTTTTATGGCCAGTGAATGTTCGTGTATTCGTGCAGAAGCCGATTTCCCAGTTTAACAACAGCAAAACGCATTACGGATGTTGCATGGTATCTATAAAACAGAACTGAATTATTTGTTCAAACCGGTTTTCCACAATTGGCATCCTAGATATTTTGTACACCGATGCATAAGGCGACGGGAGTTAAAAGAAAAAGACAAGGAACTAGTTTGCTCCGATCAGGCGCCCAAACCAAAAAACTGGCGAACACATTCGTACATTAAGAATGTGTTCGAGCTAGTTGAAAGACACCTGAGGAAACACCAAATACACGTGGCGCCCCAGTCGACGACTACATTTCGTAACCAGCTTGTACAACCTGGGGATACGGTTGGCTATTTAGATAAGGAGGAAGTCGTCTATGAGATACTATGCAAAACACGTAATACGACTTACCTTGGTAAAACTGGGAAATCGGCTTTTGCACGAATACACGAACATTCACTGGCCGTAAAAAGGCGAGACCACTTGTCCCAAGTTACCATGCATAAGCTGGAAACAGGACACGAATTCGCCTGGAACAAGACTCACATTGTAGGTGTCTGCTCATCTAAAAAAGGCCGCGAATTTTTGTAGGCTATCCATTCTGATAAGACATCTATCAACCGACGCGTAGAATCGGATGCTGTGTACAACAACCTCAAGGAAAAGGCATTGACAAATCAGAACATTACGCCAGCAGGAGTAACAGGGCAAAATCGACTTTTATGCATGTTTAAATGGTAACTGTTTTGCACGCTTACTTCACGTCTGAGGACGACTCCGGGAACCAAAGTCGGAAATTTAGAGTAAATTTGATTATCTTCCCCAAAGAACTTATTTCTTTCGAATATATGTATATGTAAATAATGGTAGAAGGGCGCTCACCGATTGTGCTACAGAATCCACTCGGTCCGTTATGCCTCCGGGCTCTCTCGAGCCCAACTAGCCTACCAGGCCGAAGTCGGCCAAACTATGATAGCAAACAACCCCGGAACAGTTCTGTATCAATCTACCCCCCAAACTCTGTCTTCCCCACTCTACTATCATAGCTTGGCCGACTTCGGCCTGGTAAACAGTTGTCTGTTCGTGACCCCCTGTCACCCATACGAAACTTGCTCGCTTGCTTTTGGAGTCCAATGAATCGGTGTGCGCCCATTTCTGGGCGATTAATTACCCGATCTGCAGCGACAGAATGGCAGGCGGGGAGACAATGATGAACTTCGGTTCGATGAAGTGCTTATGACCCATCTGGTAGGCCTCAGTGGTGGACCGACTGCGCCAGGTGCGTCTGTGCGCATGTTTCTGTTTCCAGTCCCAGCTGGTGGTCAGGTCTATAGCTGGCTGAATGCAGGCATTCCTGTACCAGTCTACCCCCCAGACTTTGTCGTGTTTCTCAGATATTTTTATATATGTCGTACACTCAGGCAAATTATCACACCAGGAAAAATGACATGCAACACAATTCTGATTTAACGACCGAAAAGATGAGGATTTTGTCGACGAAACAACCATCGTATACATAAGACCATTAGGATTCTTACTAAGTCACCTACAAAAGCACTAAAATGATTCCAAATGCGGTATCAGTAAAATCGGGCCATCGGAAATGTAGCGTTCCTTGTATGCCAGTTTTTTCATCTGCAGGTTTGCGTGGCAATTGTCTGAAATCCCTATAGGCATGTGGTGCTAGCCGCCCTAAAAATTTATAGCATGGCGAAACTTTCCATTTTCGTCACATAATAAAGGTTCATTACAGGATGCAATGGAGAAAAAACCTCAAAAGACTGGCTTGATTTTGTTGTTGGTCGTCAATAATATTAAAAGTTAATGTGTAAAACTTAACGTTTTTGAATTTATGTCGCATTCTCTTCAGATATCGTATTCCAACGGCGCTACTGGGCAGCCTTTGAGAGAAGGAACAGTACCTTCGAAGGAAGCAGTGTAATAGAAGTGCCCACTCAAGGTCTTCCTGGTTTCTTTCTAATATCTGCTACTGGATTTTCCTTTTTCGAAACACTGAAGGTTAAAGTTTCGTGGACCGAAGACAGAAAGCCCAACGCTCATGTCACCCAGGTACGTAATTTAAAAACCGTACGTCCCTTATGTAGATAGTAGAACCTACGCTTAAACACACTTTGAAGTATAAAATCTACCAATGCAAATGAATCTACTCTTTGCATATTATTTTTAGGCAATATTTAAACCACATCCAATTTGAATTCTCAAAGACATAAAACGAACAGACTAACTTAATTCATGCAGTTAATCTGCATTTTTGATTGACGCCCCGAGAGAACATTTACAAACGAGACTGGCTATTAACTCGGAATATTTTAAAACTTCAATATGCGTTATTTGGATATTTGAAGCCGCTATAGGCGGTTTTGGGCAGCCGCCAGTTAAAATGCATAATTTACCATTTTCTCAGTGTGAATGAGCAACAGTCAAGAAAGGTCATTTCGAAAATAAACATTGTACAGCAAATGTTCCTCCTTATTTTGAGATACTATTTTATAAAAGCAGTTCTTCAGAAAAAAGGATGAATACTAACAGTCCCATCTAGAAGTCTACTCATGTATTGGGATATTAAACGGAGACCTAAGAGCAAGTTCGTTTTCCGTTGCCTTCAATTAGTTTCTGGAGTACGGCATTTGCTTTAAATCTGTTATCTTTAGCAATTATTAACAAGCTCATCCAAATCATGCAGTCCTAGAAATTATAAAAAATAATACCCACAAATTATATGTAAAATAGGTAAAATCATCAGCGACACAAATTATTCATGTGAGAGACACATTTTCAGAGTGATCTAATAGCGTTGATATGGAACCTTAAGATTTGGAGTGGTATATACTTCAATCCTGGTAAACGCGATTGGACACGGCTTTTCCTATCTGTAAATCAAACAACTTTATATTCTGAAATATGTGATTTACGAGACCTTTGGGTGTGTTTCATCAATTTACCCAACCATCTGCGAAAGGCAATTATGCTAATAAAGGCTTTCATAAGTATTTTAACAGATTTTGAATAATTCATATTGAGCCAACTGTGAAAAACTCGGCCCTCGGTGGGATTCGAACCCACGCAGTAAGGAGAAGGCTTTTGTACAGCCAACGCTCTAACCACTTGAGCTACGAGGCCCCGCCGGACGACTTGACTTTAATCACATTTGGGTCAAGTTTACCCGCCCAACCTACTGCAACGCCTGGAATCCCCCAAATCTGATACAGTAAGTTGACTGCCCACGCAGGATGTCCTAAGTAATTCACCTATAATCCGCCAGATGGGTCAATATGAATTATTCAAAATCTGTCAAAATACTTTTGACTTACGTGAGCCTGGTAGTCATTTGGTGGATTCTAGGTGAATTTCTTAGGAAATTCTGCTTGGGTAGTCAACGTACTGTATCAGATTTGGTGGATTCCAGACGTTGCAGTTGGTTGGGTGAAAAAACCTGACCCAAATGCGATTAAACTCGCGTCGTCCGGCGGGGCCTCGTAGCTCAAGTGGTTAGAGCGTTGGCTGTACTAAAGCTTTCTCCTTACTGCGTGGGTTCGAATCCCACCGAGGCGCCGAGTTTTTTACAGTTGAGTCAATGTGAATAAAGGCTTTACATTTTTGCCCAGTTTAATTAAATACTCTGTCTCCAATACACATTAGCAGCATGGTGACCTAGAATTCGCAATAGGGTCGCTAACTGCAGAAGGTATTAGAGAGATATAAATTCATTAAAAAACTGGACTGTGACTGTCTCTAATGAGGGCATCCTAAGATGAATCAAAAAATTTAAAAGATTGCAGAAGTTATGGGCTATCATCTGACAAACACATACACTCAGGCCACAGCAGAAATCAAGAGTAAAGCTGTATGAAATAGAGGAATGATACAAATTGCACTCCGCTGTCTTGAGCCTACTTCCATCACTATGCATCCCTGTTGTAGTGGCTACATCGGAACCTAGAAACGATTTTTTTAAATTACAGAAACGAAGTGACATTTAAAACTGAATCTTAAATAAAAGGGATGGACGACAACCGTGGTCAGTTGCTACCGTTCCGTAGTTGTTGCTGATAGCCTTTGCAAATACGCAAAGATTCAGCAATCTAACCCCACTTTAAGCCCTTCATATGTGGTAGAGTTATATGTGTTTCAAAACGATGGAAAGATAAGAAAACTCTATCTCATTCTTTTATTTAGACCAGTACGCGGGTAAATTGTGTGTTACAGCAATCGATTATGTCACAAATCGAGTTCAGAACTGCGGTATTTTTCAAAATTTCTTCTATAAAGGTAGAAAGCTAGTAAGGGGTAGAAGTTCAACGTTGGATGTTGAATTCGTGCATAAATGCCCATCAGTTACCTTCAGTTGAGACTTGCATTGCTGCAACCGCCCAAATAAACGAACATTCTAAATTTTGAAGAAATGAGTGTGATTGAGGACGGTGATACTGCACTAAAAGCCGTGGCTTGGATGGTTGCCAACTGGCGGGATAACTTGGACCTCGCAGTTCGTCAAGCGCTGAGTGTTTGTGTGGAGTGGCCGGCTTGTGGACTAAAAGTCAGAATGCAAGGACTCCTTCTTGATGCAGCTTCCATGGTACTTCCATTAGGATGGGATTCGAGCAGGGTTTAGCGGCAACCTAGGGACGGCTCCAGCCGCGCCAGCCACCTGCGCTCTCTTCAACCTCAGGTCTTCTTGTCTATGTTTTGACACCGGGCCCAGGGTGGGAGGAGCAGGAAGGAGTGCGGCAGATGCTGCAGAAGTCTACCATCACTATGAACCAATTTACACTCAAGTCATCGCCCCTGATCACAACTTGCTGTGGAGCACATGGTGGACATAATCTAAACCGACGGTCTATTGTCGGTATGGCCGATAAAAACGAAGATGCTAGTTCAAAGAAAAAGTCGGGGAGAGAGAAACGACAGCGGGAACAAGAAATTTATTTAACCTTCCGAGGTAGCATAGGATAATAGTAGTTTTTTGCATGTGGTATCGTTTTTTTCAATAAAAAACCGAGTGTCATCGTGAAGCCAAACATAGGTTTGTATAAGAACACCATTGTATACGTTGAATAACTTTTTAATGCACCAAAATATTTATAAAATAATGTGATAAGTTCAAAATCGACAAAAGACTGCCAGTTCGGAATCGTTGATACAGAAACTATAATATTTCCAACTTATTTCTAACCCTCACTATTAGGGGACCAGTTCCATTTCTTATCTTATTATTTGAAAAATAAAGGTGGTTTATTATAAAGTTCATTTTGGACGACCTTTTATTTTCTTTGGCTTCCCCTAGGACGCTCAAGTAAGTTCAATCCACCAGTTCCCAGATGTTGACGAACTGCAAAATTGGAAAATGCTGGCCTATCGGTTATCACCGCCAATTACGTATCCAGATTCCGCAGATGGACAACTAGTCACTTTCGACTGGTTTTTACCGGCCACTCAAAATTCCCTTGAGGAGCGTCATGTGATAGACAAATTTTGGATTGTCGGTTAGTGTTTTCCGGAAATATGCTACTTAAAACATGAAGTCTTGTGGAAGCTCTTCCATTTCATTTTCAAGGATAGATCAATAACCAACTAACGCAACGCAGAGGTCTCTATGCAATGTTTTTGCAGTTGGCATTAATTGGTAAAATGTTCTTCGAAGGTGAAAGTCAATGTTTGTGATATTTACCAGCCCGACGCAAAAAACAGCGACAGATTTTTCCGTGAAGTTTCTACGACTTGAGATTCCGCTAAAGAAATTAAAGCTATGTAAATAGTTCTTTCACCCATTAGTCAGATAAGGATACTCTTATCTACCATCGAAATTGCATCAAACGTGCTCTGCAGGAACATTTTTCTAAACATGGCATTAACAGGATTAGCAGTATTGTTGTAAAACGTTTACAAAGTCCAAGAATGGGCTTGAGACGCAGATAGCTCCTTACGTGTTATTGGCTAAACAACCGAATAACGCGCCATCATTAGTCCACTCTGCCTGTTGTCTGCCGAAATACTTCATACTTTGGTTTTGCTAAGTGCTGCCAATCCATAGTTAAATGGGACTTCCAGTAAACTCACTGCCCATGTAGAATCTTCTTCAACTTGCCTTTTCGCAAATGTGACGACCGAAGCTCGTTAAAAGTTGATCTATAAAACTTGGAGCTTGCGGAGCGTGGTAAGGGTTGGCTGCGAATTCGTCTCACATGCGGTTAGCAAGCTTACTTATTGTATCTAACGCGAATTAATTCTGCAAAAATCCCTTTCGAAATAACTTAGATACGAGGAATAATACAGGCTGTATAGTTTCTGTGAAACGAAAATGTTATATAGGAAGCATGAGATGCTGCAACGGATGTGGTTCTTGTTGAAAACATGTTGAAAATAATTATTAAACGGAGAGACACGATTCTAATCGAATGGGCACTATACGGTCTTAAAACAACCTCATCATTAAGCATTTTTTTTAAACCGATACATACACTTTTGATTACAGAATTTGGAGAGGGCGTGATGTCCTACCATAGGAGTACACAAATTAGTGTTTTATGAATGCTTTATGCAAAATTATATTGAATTCGTAAGAATATCGGAGATCGTTTGGAAAAAGACATGCTATGTAAGTGGTCATTTTTTCCGAGTGGAGTCTTTGCAGGTGTGTCTGGAATACCATGCGATTAGGCCACATGATAAGCAGTATTACAAATTTTAATAAGTAATCCGTCCTGATCAAAAACTCAATTCAGAGTTCAAGTTAACATTTCCTGTGATCGGTCACGCTGCCCAATATTTGCTTGCTTATAGTTTTGAGGATTTACATTTTTACAACTCAGACGTTGACAAAGAACCCCTTGATAAGTTACGAGCATGGATTGTCTCTGAACGTGCGAACCACCTCGAGCTGTACGTCTACTACCAACACTCAAACAGTCGGGGAGTCTTCAGTGAGAACTCAGAGGCTAACATTGAATTACTCGAATTTGGCTGCCCACCCGAAGCCACCTCTCGTAGCCTTGCAAGCTTTACCGTGAAAAGTGAGTCTCCTTTGTAACCTTCAATGATTAATGCCTGTTGGAATTTTCGCAGTCAGCTCGCCGTACCGCATAACAACACGGCAGAATTACACGCCAACAGCAAAATACCTGACGTCTGTCCGTGTTTGTATTGTATCTTTATTCGTTTCTTTTAATGCATTTTTTATCAGGATCATCTCGTACTTCCAGAGTAGCCTCCACTTCACTTTTCTCGGTTGCACTTCGTTCGCCTGTCCTCTCTCACCACCCCCATTCTTCTGTTCACGTTCATCCCGCTTCTGGAGCTGTATGTTTACTTAACTTAAACAAAGGTGATAAAGGGAATCGTAGGTAAAGAAAGATTGAACTTAACTACAGTGTACTTCCATAGAGCAACTATGTTATCCATCAATTGAGGCTGACGGTCACTGATCCCTCTGTACTGCGGGAGCGGTACTCACATAGACCACGAAGTTCTGGTATATGGATTTGCTAGGCTCCCACCAAGTAATCGGCAGTCATTAATTCTGAGGTATGTCCACCATAGAGAGAGGGGATAGCAAAGTGGTCAGTTTCGCGCGCAGAGGAGACAGACGCGCTATTTGACCAGGATTTTACCAACAACAACAACGACAGCGCCACAACAGGGATGAGAAAGACGAGGATGGCTGGGCAACTATGCTCACGACCTGTTTAGCCAGCGTGAGCGCAGGCCCATCTACTGGCAGGGGACCAGGTGACAGATAACTGTCAGCGCATACCAGGCTACGAGGGCCATGGTTCGCTGATCCTGACATAGCAAGTGCTTAGAGACCCAGAAGTGTGACACGTGGCCCTGAATTCGCCTGGGTCATTAACCTTAAATGACTGAGTAGCTGGCCAGTCCTTGGCTGCGAGTCGAGTATGACTCTCGACGGATTTCTCGTTGTATGTATGCTGGAGTGTGGGGGAGTCTACACTGAAAGAGACCCTAATATGGATCCTGATTTCCAGTTTTTAACAAGAATGTCGTTTTTTACTAGCATTGTGTCATTATGTGAAGTGATACGGTTAAAATTCAGCACCGAAATAGTAGAAATAGAATTGTCATAGACGATGGGAAGATTGCCAATATATGTGTTCCGTAAACACCTATTTCACTTCTACTACGTCGCCTCTTCCGTACACAAAGCAGTCATTTTTTACTTCTTAAAATCCTCACATCAAATTCTCTCACTGACTTTTTCGCCTTTGTGTCTTCTCACCAATAGCCAAAGGATTTACCCTCCAGAACTCTACCGCTGAGATCAATGTGGACAACAGGGAGTATGGCAGGGGTGCGTTCATTAATTACCACCCCTACTCTACCGCATTCGGCTATGAGCTGCGCGCCCTGGTGAAGGAGGATAACGAAATATTCACCAAAACTCTTCTATCCATCCCACCAGCAGACGAAAGTCGCCTAAAGCTGGAATTAGAAGGCGAGTTTTTATCTACTTTCAATGAAACTGAGTGCTCGCTCTGAGAGCGGGACACCCTTACGCTTTACAAACACAGGTTTCGTGTTTTTTTCACTAAAAGGAGGAAGCAAATATTTCCCAAATCACGATTTTCTGATAGGCAGTCTGTTTCCGGTCCATTTGCATGTTTGCTTTTAGCCTAAATCCCACCTTGGAGGCTGAAGGAAGTTAAATTGCATGAAAGAGGATGTGCAATGCAATGCTCGGTTTAACAGATGTCGAAAGTTAGGTGCAAACGTTTGTGAGCAACGGCCATCAAACACACTGAGATATTTTCTGGCGGCCTTCGCATGTGCAATTGCAGATTGGGATGGAATAATATAATAACGATTATACACTGTTCAGAAGACATTACTGTGCCTTTCTGTATTTCAAGCTTCCTGTCAATTTGAAGCGTCTTTCAACGAAGTGCCAGAGCGCGGCTAGGTTTCTAGCTGAGAAGTATGCTCTACAGGCGTACGAATGGAGGTAAATTTAAATTACGAAGAGCCTTAGAAGCTCAGGAAAAGCAGGCAACGAGCTCTAAAAAGCCAAAATAATAACAAAAGCATAAAGTGAATATAGAATACATCATATTGCTACGATCTGTACCTTCCATAGATGATGAAGTTTAATGTACTCGCACATTCGCAATTAGGCCAGAACTTTCTGTCCTTTCCGATTTGAATAATTTAAAAAGTTACTTAGGCAGCGTCAATTGGTTTCTTTGGTAGGCTCGATGAACGTATCTTGAGACAAAATTAGGCAGCATACTTACGGTTGCCTTCAAAACTGTTTTAATAGGTTGTAACTTATTCCTCCTCATTAGTTTGTGGGTCGATCCTTACAGTCACAGAACTGGCGTTACATTTTGGCATATGGACGACCGTCGGGCCCAGTATTTTCCTTAGGCCTCAACATGCATTCTACATGTGGACGTTTGTTTTATTAACCAATACGCCCACGTAGCCTTGATCGCATTTCCTTGGTCGTTTTGATTGCAGTAATTGTTCTGGAGTACGATTATTTATAGAGTTGTCGCTCTGATGGCGTCTGAGTGCGAGGAATCAGGTTGAGCGATGTTGGAATGTCTCATACGAGCATACACTTTCAATATTTTCATGTCCCTCATGGCGGTTTACGTTGTGGGCCTTATAGGAACGGCGTGGGTCATAGCGCTAAAGCGCCTATAATTGCCAGAATGGCGAAAGGAGCAATTTTCAGTGTCTTAAGACGTCATACTTATCAGAGGAGGCCTGCGGTCCTTCGGTAATGTTGGCAGACAACCTACATGACTATGGAACGTAAGAATAATATCGAGAACTACCAGGGCAGTGATTTGTCCGAGGGGATTCGTCAAGGCTAGCTGGAGTCGTTTCCCCTGAAAACCAACACATTGGGGAGTACTCATTTATTTGCAACTCGGTTCACGTCAGCCAGTGTCAAACTTGCAAATGAATGTTATTTTCTATATAACAGCTTAATAAAAGATGTTTAGACACATCATATACACCCATTCACATATATCAGAACCTCATCACATAGAAAAGTTGCAGAAACCCTTGCCAACTGCATTTACTTCATTCATGATCCAAAAACTCCTCTTAATAATCAAAACTACACTGTAACTTAGGGGACAACAAGGGTTCTTCTTATTTCTTTCATGCCGCAAAGTCCGCCGTCGGTCATCACTGGAGTGTGCGCACCTCAGATGTTTTTCCCAAGACTGTTATCTTGCCATATCCGACGACAGCATACTGTCCCCGAAACTAATAGTCTTTTGTACAACAATAAAAAATAATTCCTAAATCTAGTAAACACCCTGTACGAATGCATTTTTTATGTTTGGAATGGCGTGCAGAGATGTCGGCTTACCTGAAACCGACGAATCCAGAATGAGCATGTCATGCTTTGCGACGTTAGGGCGTTTCTCACCCAAAATGATTAAAAGTGGTATTGTAGTTGAGACGTTCTCACTGTAAGTCTTACTTGGGCTATGCTCTACAGATGTGTGCTGCCACAGGCCGTATTTGTCGTTGGTATGGGCTTGCTATATTCGAATGTAAATGTTTATTCAAAATTGGCCCCTTGGTCAATATATCGTCTGCTAGATAGTTTAAGGACAACACCGCTTGGTAATTAAACAAATTCATAGATATTTTGGCAGATTTTAAATACTTCATATTGACTCAACTGTGAAAGACTCGGGCCTCGGTGAGATTCGAATCCACGCAGTAAGGAAAAGGCTTCAGTACAGCCGACGCTCTAACCACTTGAGCTACGAGGCCCCGCCGGACGACGCGACTTTAATCACATTTGGTTCAAGTTTACCCGCCCAACCTGCTGCTGCTTCTGGAATCTATCAAATCTATATGACTTATCCAAAATCTGTCAAAATGTCTATGAATTACGTGAGCCTAGTAGTCATCTGGTGGATTCTAGGTGAATTACTTAGGAAATCCTGCTTGGGCAGTCAACTTACTCTATCAGATTTGGTGGATTCCAGATGTTGCAGTAGGTTGGGCGGGTAACTTGACCCAAATGTGATTAAACTTGCGTCGGCCGGCGGGGCCTCGTAGCTCAAGTGGTTAGAGCGTTGGCTGTACGGAAGCCTTTCCCATACTGCGTGGGTTCGAATCCCACCGAGGCGCCGAGTTTTTCACAGTTGGGCCAATATGAAGTAAACAAATGTGCGCCGAGAAAATGCAAACGTCTGCGGAGACTGGAACTTGTTGTACAGGAATTGACTGTACTCTCGTAACAGGAACCGTCACTGTTTTATTGTAATTGTACAACAGACGTGCGCACAGGGGGTTAACCTTTAAATTTAACTTGATAACACTTTATTTTGGTTATCCTTTCGCAGCAACTATTCATAGATATCCCCCTCGAGGTCACGGATTGTGTACAGTTTGTCCATAATCAATTCAATTCTTATCCGTAAAAACCATCGCCGCAATGGCCAAGCGTTCTGCTTTACCTTGAACCAGAAAGAAGACCGTTTATGGCGCATGACATACGGAAGTGTATATATGACCTCGACAGCTGTATGCAACAAACTCCTACTTTATCAGTAGATTGCAGCAGGTAATATTGGATGAAATTTGGGCCTTTTCTTCTCAATGACCGTTAACAGTTTCTTCCGCGCTGCTATTGTTTTTGTTGTTGTTGTTGTTGCAGATGTTGTTGTTGTTGCTGCTGCTGCTGCCGTTGCCATTGCTATTTTTGTATTGAATGTCTCCGCGTTGCGCGAGAATTCAGTCCTCATTTCTATGCTTTATAGATCCCCCATTCGAAATGCATCTAAAAAAGCTGGACATATTGGAGGCCGCAAAGAAGATCAAACTTCAGCTGGAAGTCTCTTTGAACTCCCGAGTACGTTCTAACCCGGGAAGCTGTCAATACATTTTGCTTTAAGAAAACTAAAATCTGTTTGCGGAGGTTTTGGGGCTTTTTAGGAATAGAAGCACTTTTATTACGTACAGCTTTTGGCACTTCCATTCATAGAGGCAATGCGAGCAGAATGACATCACGCAGGTAAACGTGCTGATAAGGAGCAATTAGGGTATGTTATGCTAAATTCGTACGTGTTTTTGGCTTTATATTATATTTAAGATCAATTTTTCGAGCTGTTACTACCCTTCAACGGACAGGGCAAACTGCATTTTTTTCATGAGTCTGTGGAGACATTCCGTTTGCATAATGGGGGAATCGCGTGACAGAACTGCACCGCTCGACACACATAACTTGGCATGCTTGACAATCTGAATTTGTGAGTTCATAAATATTAACGTTTGCAGTTGTTTACCAGTCGGAAATGTACACTATAGCTTTCTGGTGTAAGGTAATATTCAAAGGAGTCGGTGACTTTTTCAAGGGAAATCATTACTCAGCCACTGATAATGCGCGTATATTCCAAACATTTATGTTTACTTTCACATATTAAATTTTGGCGTGGTAAGTGCATTTTTGGTAAATCATGAAGACTTGAGAGTTACAGTTCGACTCGTGCGAAGGTACTTGTTTGCTGATAAAAGGGAAAGCTGCCTGACTAAGATACATTAGGATAGAAAATTCGTTATCAGCCGAAGTACCACCTCCCGCCAATGATCAGAAAAGTGACAAAATAGCGCACACACAATTCCTCAGTGCATGCAGCCATTTTTTCAGAAGAGAAACTAGGAATATTTAAGAAGTTCGGTTTAGTTCTTTAATTTGCAAGCTGTTTTGACGCGACCTCTTTGAGCAAAACGTCTTACAAATGGCTCTATTTTCAAAGTAATGCAGTCCACTTGTGAGAAAAATCGTTTTTGCTATACCTCGGAGAGCAAATTTGTAAGTTATAGCAGATGAAATAACAAAGAACCCTTCGTATGCTCAAGCAAAATGATCCTTACAATGAGGCAACTTTGAGCATTATTTCAGACATTACCAGAGAGGATAGTGGGCGCCAAAAATTTAATACGGAATACATGTGTGGATAAATTTTGCAGAATTTGTGATGGAAAACATATTTAAAACCTCGACGCTTTAAGATTGAGAAGGAGATTAATACACGTACTCAACAAACAGCCAAATGTGACGTTTAGTTACTGTCCCTTATTCATCCGAATTAGTAGTCACCAATCTATGCATTCAATCCGAACACAGACTGGTTGAGAGAAGTAAGTTTTTATTATTTTCATTAAAACGAGGGCTCAGCGGGTCAACAAAATCTGTCGATTAATCATTTTCATTATTTATCAGTTCAACTGCAAAAATAGTACCCGTAATTAAAGCAAAATGAAATGGGCGATAAGTAGTTATAACGAGGTAGTTCTATCAGTGTTTATCAAAGAGAATCTCTGACTGCTCGCATTTGCAGCTATGTCTTCTCTCTATACTAGTCAGGACTTTAAAATTTTGTCGCTGTTGCCTGCAGCCTTTCTTAAACTAATCTTAAAAATCCGACATCAGAGACAAATATATCAAAAACTTATATGATATCAACGTTTTGGCCTCACGATAGTATTGGAAATCAGCTACTTTTAAAGCCATTCAAGTCGCCATAACTATTACAGTCACGGAGAATATCATTCAGGAAAGATTCCTCTATCTTCTACTCACTTATTCGGCTAGAATTTCCCGTAAATATACTTTTGATTAATGCTTTCTCCCAGAACTATACCTTACACCGATAAATGGGATAAAACGCATGTTTTAACAAATGTTGCGTTTGCTACATTGGCCATCCTCTTCATCGTATTCTAACTCTGTCTCAAAGCGTGACCGGTAAACGATAGGCATACGAATGGGTATGACTGTTTTTCCTCCATGGTTTTAGATGCGTCCGCGAGGTGAACTTATAAACCGAGAAACGAGAATGCGACAAAGATATTTTGGTGAGGGTAGGGCATATAACCGGCCTACACTGGTGTTCCAAAATCTACCTTCCTGTCTTATCTTGATAGATATGGTTCATAACGGTTTGCCCGGTAAAAGGTCACGAAAAGGGTTATGAAATACGCGGAATTTTTACCATGCTAGCGTCATTGACGTTTAAGTTGCACGTACCGAACTCCAGGCTTGGGGTATGGCTACGGTTATTATTAGATTTAATGTTAATTTTGGGTTATTCTTAGGGCTGGGATGGCCAGGCTTAGGCTACGGTTTAAACTTAGGGTTGAAAATACGTTTTCGATTATAGCCTATGGTTTTAGGGTTAGGGACAGAAGTAAATGTTAGGGTTTTGAGACTTGTGTCATGGCAACGGTCACGTTTAATTTTTCCTTAAAGGTTTACGATTAAAGGGCTAGGGTTACCCATTAGCGGCTTGGCCGCAGTTTGCGTTAGTGTCGTAATTAATTATAGTTTTTGTCTCCTGACATTATTATTGGCATCGCGTTCAACTTTTACCTGCCCTTGATTAGTCACATTGTTAACATGAAGCATGGGGCGTTCAGAGATAAAGTAGAACAATCCTGACTATTATTTCTCATCGGGGTTCTGTTTTACATGCAACCTCAGGTGCTAGGTGAGTTTCAAAGCCCGGGACGTCCATTTTAGTCTTATGAGAAGGATGGGTGAGCACATTATCACACCTGTTGAATTTTTAGGAGAAAGCATTGAGGTTCCATCGTAGGGTTTCACGGTATAACTACTGTCTCGGCTGTAGATAATATCTCTTGGCGGGATCCCATGGTGAAGCTTGCTGGTGTTCGAAAGACGATTTGAAAGGCTTCTTTAGCATCGACTCGATGATTTATTATCAAAAGATATGCAGGGGTAGAACTCAAAATCGATCTGGTTTCACTCCTGCCTAGCCAGGTCGTTATAGGTTCATGTACTCTCTTCTCCAGATGTCTCGTTGTACGGTCAATATATCCACCTCCACAGAAGGAATTAAATGAATAAATAACATCGATGTGAACTTTGATGGTAATTGGTCTTTACCTCCAAAGCGTAGGAGGAAAGAATTTGTGAAACATACGCGCAAATTCGCCGAGGGTAAAACATCAGTGGTTGTTGTCTTCGGATGTTGTCTTATTAGATCGCTTGCTGCGTCCTTTTGAAAAGACGGTCTTGTGAACAAGTTTTTTCTTCATTTGTCGCGATTGGCTTTACAGTGCGCTGCACAATATTTCAAAAGATAAATCGTTCTGGGTATCCGTTTGCGCAGAGTATGTTGTGCAGCTTCTGAAGTTCTGCTTCAACGGTCTTAGGAGCGCAGCTACGCCGCACTCTAGCTCTTAATCCCTGAACCAAAATGGTTTCATTTAAGTTTTCTAACTAGCATGTAACATTAAGCGAACTAAATTAATGGACAGATGCGTGCTGTCTTCTCCTTAGCACCTCTAAGTCTAAACGTAGCGAATATATCACTATCAGTTTTGGGCATGCCTATTCAGCAATTATTCAAAGCAGGATATCAGTTTGGCATTTACCGAATCGTAAATGGTCCCGTTTTCCGCCATCTTTCAAAGGCCAACCTGAGGAAAATGTCGAAGGCCATCTAATTTTTTCATGTTTACTGAAGAGTTATTAAAGGGAAGCCTTAGAAATGCAACTTTCGACATAGGAAGCAATCATAAAAACGTCGAAAATAGGAATGGTCAGACTTCATGGTTACTTAGCGACCAGTAATTAAATTACTCGCATCGTAGAAGAAAACACAGACATTATGGTGGTACATGCGTTTAGTGACATTTGTTTCCCCACATTTGCTTTTAAAAACATAGACACTCCCATCATTTGCTGGTGTCGTCTGTTAACGTTATTAAAGGTCATTTGGTTTTCACTGAAATATTAAGGAAAATAGCATATAAGGACGATTTTCTCTGCCAGATTTTCCTGCAGGCAAGGCGTTTTTTCTGGCCACATTAAGATAAGGTACACGTAGGAATTTCTGACTACGATTCATATGAGAAAGACAACACAGTTTTAAGACAAATAAGTGGAATATGTGTTAGTCGTTTGCTTTATTTACTCATTTGCCTTCCCTCAGTTCACTTTTTGCATACCTTTGCGCGTTAATTGACATTAAGTGGGTCATTATTCGCCGATTTTCGTAGATTTTTTTCCTCCTTACATAACACGCTCAGTTGCCTTTTAAACAGAATCCACGACACATAACACATTACCCGTCCACTTAATTATAACTCCACGAATTCAGGACATTTGACTATTTATTCCTATAATCCCCCGTTTCATACATACGTCGTAAGTGCTGTGCTTAATCGTAAAAAGTTTGCCAAAGTTCTGGAATGTGTATTCAACTCAAAAAGATTACATAAGTATAATCCCAAGATGTTTCAGTTATTTCGGGATGTCAGCTTTTGGAAGAATTATTTGCAGCCGCCTGCAAATACTACACCCTGTAAAAGTGCCCACTTAAATTGTATGAATTTTCCGCATTGGTTTTTGATGCCCCTATAAATTCAAATATCCTGCACAGAAAACATGAATAAAAATATTCATTCGTTTACTCGTTTTGTAAAACATTACGTATTTAAATGTCACATTTAAAAAACGATTATACTTTGGTTTTAAAAAATGTCTACTTATGAGAGTATTTAAGAATGTGAAATGGTAGTTCATAACACATCGTGTCTCTACATTAACTAATATTGCTTCTAAAGTTTCGAATATGGCTCAAATCCATTATCAGATTTTATGAACCCCATACGATCTCCTCATAAACGTGTATGGAAATGTAGTAGCTTCCGTACAGGGAAAATATAAAGCATATATTTTAGCATCCGTAAATGCAAATGTAACGGCAGGTGGGGTTCAAAATCACTAGGAAATATGAAAAACTTTTTGAAACCTAATAATGCCCTTTCTTCAAGTACAAAATTTAATGATGTAGTTTTCTTCTATATGAATAAAAGGACGAGTATTGTTGTGCATATTTCCAATAAAATGTCTCTAAATTTTTGAGGCCATCGAAAATCAGTGAGGACAATTCACACTAATTAAGTAGTCATTTCTATAGTAGTGTTTTTGTTGGCGGCCGAAAAGACGTCTGTTCTAAAGCTAGCATCTCGAAGCAACTGAATTACTTTGGAACTATGCTGCTCAGTAAGTAGTATTACAACACTTTATAATCAAACTTTAGAGTCAAAAACCTATTTCAGAATTTCAGTTAGCATTTCATGAGTTAGCACATCTACTGTATGAACAATTCCTTTGTTCAGATTGGACAAGTTTCAGTCATCTCTCCACATGATTCTCTTTCTCCCAACAGCTCATTTTAGATCATCTAAACTGCTTTCCGAGTACCCTGAAGCTTGTGCCTGTCTGGCTGCCAGACGACGCAGAGCCGACTGTTTTCTCCACATCTCCAGTTTACTTCGACTTTATGGCCAATACTGACATGCCAAGCCTTGACTTCAGACTTGTCTTCACATTCAACGACACCATTCGTGAAATCCCAATAAGTCTACCAAATCCAAGTAAGTCTGTGCTGATATTGAGTGAGAGCAAAAACGGGTGAATACCAACCCTTGCAGCTAGCAAGTGTGATAGCTAGGACAGACTATGATTGTAGAAATCATTTCGAATTCAAAATGTGGACATTCGAAACTCCTCTCATCTACGCCTATTACGAGCCCGCTGGACTTTCTACTGTTCATCGCCTGTTTGGGCAATTTCTCGTCCAGTTTCCGTAGTTTGGAAGACGTGTTGTCAGGAAGGCTGGAAATTACATTTGAGTCCTTTTCTTCATTCACGTAAATTGTATCTTTATATTTTGCATGACGCATCACATTCGCATTAGTACACCACTGGGACCTGGCCACATCCGCGTTCGTGTGGTTTTCACTTTTTGCTGCTAAATATTTGTCTTATCCAATAAGACAACTTTCGTGGCTTTTGGTCAACTGCAACATCCAACTGTTGTTGCAGTTGTTGTTGTTGTTGACGTACCCTAAGCCCCTTGTTTAGAGCTACGTACTTCTGACAGAAGCATTCGTAAGAATCCTCTGGCGAATTGGCACAGGGGTTTACAGAAGCGAACAGAGAAGTTCCAGAAAGCAGGTTAGAACACGAGGATGCGATCACTGGAACTAGAAATTTATTGGCTTGACGATTCGGATTCGCTCGGAGCCATCCGCAGATATAGCTGCAGATAAGACTTATATGGCAGGTTAAGTTTGCGATTGATGTAAATTTAAGTTTAAACTAGGGTCGGGGGTGAAGCTATAATCTAGGTTTGCAGGGCATATTTACGGAGATTGCTAATGATACCACCATGATTGAGGCTAGACACAGGCCTATATCTAACGTAGCACCCAGACCTATCACTTGATCCCAAACTACGCCTAACATGAGCTCAAAAGCATGATACTGAACTTGCATTAAACCCCAAACACATACCTTTGTTAGTGCATATGTCTAAAGCCTGACTCTAACGCCAATCATAGACTTTCCAAGTTACCCACGGGGGGAGCTTCTTGGCATAATATTCTATTACTCCCACAACGATAACATTTTTGTGATACAAACGCCACTTCGTGCGCTACAATTTCGTTCCAGCTTACTAATTTGTCCTGTCATATAAGTTGTACGTGCATTTTCTGCCTGTAAAAATATGCTGCTTGTCAATAACTGCTTAACTTCCTGTATTTAAACCTCCGCAACCGTTACCGACACGTAGTTGGACGAGGTTTCTAGGGAAAGACCTTGAAGCATTCTGCAGTAACTCTCTTTTTAGGTCAAACATTCCTCAAATTGCACCCTTATTGGACCGCAAGCCGTCATGTTTGCTTTAAAAAGTCAGGAATGCCCATTTTACCTCATAAAGAGGCTTAGAGCGTCGGTTAACTTGAACGGAAATTACTGGGAGTCCTGAAAAGGTCAGTTTGGCGGCTTAGCACAGTCATTAATCGTCAAATTTGGCCTCTCAAAGACCTGAAGGGCATGTTTAAATTTAGTTCGTTTAAGGTGTGTTAGGTGGCTTCTCTGACGTCCAACCAACAGAAGAAGACCCTGTCAGTTTTTTATAGTCAGGAGATTCTCCGATTGTTTTCAAATCTCTCAGCTAATAAGGCGGTATGAAATCGTCTGAAAACTCATTTCAGTTGTAAATACATAAAGTGGACAAACAGAGACTTCTGGGTGAAATTTACCCGAAGGGAAAATAATAAAATTAAATTTGTTTTGTTTTACTACAGAAGCACTAGTAGCAGCCATACGCACTCTCCGCGTGATGAATTGCAACGCCCGGGCAAAGGTCGTGTGCTGAATATAGAGGGTGAACCCGTTTAACTTGTTGATGTACTTAGCAGAGTGCTTCCATCGGCGTCTGGGCATATAGCCCGTGGTGCTGCAGCATTTAGTCCCTCGTTACTATAAATTAACATTTTAGATTCCTTATACGAATTTTATCTGTGTCGTTACTGAACGTTCAAACAATGCTTCAGTGCTAACCTCGCAGGCAAACAAATTTTATGAAGGAGGAAGAACATAAATAACTGACCTCCCTGATTCCCTCATCTGAACGAAGACTAAGATGGCCTAATAATCAAAGTATTCCGGAGAGCGAACTCTAATAGCCACCACAGAGTCAGCCAAAAGTGCATTTTCAGGATTTCGGAAGCCAGGGCTTCCTTATAACGACAACATAGACGGATGTTCGGATCGAATGATTACCCGCGCAACGTTGTCAATTGGAGCATGCGCAAGCAGGGCGAGAGACCAGACTGGCCCTCTCCCAAATTTAGGCGACCTTCCAGTACGTCAAACACGTCTTAGACGTCGTCAGCCACCCTCTCACGCCACTTGGAAGTGGAGTTATAAACGGACCGGAGACAACCATTAGATCGCACTATCCCTGCAGTAAAGTCTAGATTCGCTCACCAGGTCTGTTCCGGTCGTGGACAGTGAAGTTGGGTCAAGAAACTAAGAGCTTAGTTCAAACGCTGGTGGTTAAACACGCAACTGAATCTTAAGTTACGGTTTATTTAACGAGACTCGGCTGCATTTTCCAATTCGGTTACACCAAAGTTCTCATGCAAGGGGACAACCGCGGACTGCTTTAGTTGTAGTCTTCCAGATTCCAGTCAATTAACAAACGTTATGACCTCCAACTCCATATTCCGCGTTGGTTGCAAGCATTGTTTTCACCGTGTGCCGTTGGTAAAACAAACTGATTTAATATTCGCTTTCTGAAAATTTTATAATTGTGAAACGTTTAGACGTGCTCGTATAAATATGCCCTAAGCTTACTGAACCGAGGCTTATTAATGCAGTCCATAGCATGCCGAACCTGAGTAATATCCAGTTCAGTTGTGTATGTGGTACAGCAGGATTCTCAGGTAGACATACAGAATTTAATTAATTTGTCTCGGGAACCTGCATGGCGTTTAGTTTGTAAACCTAAAAACCAGACGAAAACTTGGGCTGCCTTTCAAAAGCTATTGATTCTGTTAACATTTTCTGAAACCCAATTTCCTTTTCCAGTCAAATGCTGTACCTGAAGGAGGTGGTTGTTGTTTTAGGGTATCGAAGTACATGACCTTTTGGGCAGCCCTTCTATCTAGTATGATTGCATGCATAAAAACACGAAAAATCAACAAAACGCGCGCCGTATTTTGTAATGGCATTTTTGGATGTGATTCACACAGGCAGCTAAAAGTGCTCGCCTAACAGCCAAAATGTCGTCGTCTGACTCGTAATTAGCCTTGCAACATCGGCTGCAAAATATTTCTATCGAAAATTGGAATAAAAATATCTCATCAGTGCTCTACTCGTTTTCGCGCATAAAATTTGAGGGCTATTATAGGTTCCCCTGGGGTATGTATACTGGATATCCAGACTAAAGGCAGTAACACTTTTTGATTAATAGAGTTATCCCAGCAGATTGAACTGAGATTGCTTCAGTAATTCTGGTTGACTTCTGCCCAGCGTTTAGCTTCCATCGGCAAATCGATTGTACTTTTCTGTAATCAAAGGTAGGGGACCACCGCGCCTTTCGAAATACCCTTGACTTAGATACAGTTTACATTGCTTGGTTGCCTCTGCAGATGTTCGGCGTGTGTGGCTTTCCTGTCGGAACGCTACAGTTTAGACATCCTGTGTGTTTGACAGTTGGGAGGGCGCCGCCCATGCGTCCATCAGGCAACTGTTCTTTGACTCCATTCTCACCCCCTGCACATGCTTCTTTGACTTCAAATGTCACGCACAATCTACGTCTGACTGACTTCGCAAGGACTTCTGTTTTGCTACAACAGTATGCAAAGTGAAGTACTTTCAAAACGTAATACCCTGCTGCTACTGTTTCCTCGCATTTCCCTACCTCCCTCCCCGGTGACGCGTGTTCTTCTCCCTTTCCTCTTTTTGTACCTCCCCCCACCTCAGTCAACTGATGCTATCACCAACCCTACCGAACCGACCCTATTATGCTGTTATCATTACTATCTTGACCTCCATTAGGATCTCGCCGAACTTACCTCTAGGTCACTTGAGGTTTCTTACCCGTCAAATTTTGCCTGACTTGAAAACCTTTCTGCTGATGTGTCTATCATAGCTATTTCAGACTGATTGGAAAACGGTACATCAAGGGCGGGATGCTCGTAGGAAGGTGCGGAAGATACATACAAGTTGGAGAAAAAGACTGCCGCATGGTTACCCTAATCGCACTCTTCAATGACTAAATTAGTTTGCTGTTCAATTTCACTAAATCGTCTTGCTTGATTACTGATCTGCGGCTAAATCACTACAAACCGCGATCTCAATGCCAGGCAATATTAGTCTAACTCTCGAAGGAAATAAATCTGTCCTTACTTTGAATGACATTTAATGGCCTTTTCCTGTCATTGATAAGGGTATCCCATAGGAGTAGAGACTAGCAAGCGGCTTCCCTAGTCTTTTAAATAACTCCGAGGACCGTGGATGTTTGAGGTCTAACGAGAACGCGTCTGCGGGCTCGATGAATTTTGGAAATTTTCGAAGAAGTTTAGGAAAGTCAGTGTTCCACGCAGTTTTTCGTACAGTTTTCAGTTAAGATGTAAGGTAGAATTTCTGTAAATAACCTCGATAGTTGGAAGACTTTATTACCGCCAGATCTAGAATGACATCAAATTTTGTCAAGTCGCGGATCCTGCAGCAGGCGCATCCTACAGAATTTCACAAGGGAAGATTGTTGTGCCATTGCCCTTAAAGTTTTAGGTTGACATATGCTCGCTATTTGCTGTTCAATTAGTCCGTTCTATCGCGAGGTTGCTTTCGACGCCTAGAATTCTGTTATTTTATGGAGACTTTTGAAATGTTAGGGCACTTTTATTTTATACTCCTTTTCTAGTGAAGGAAAAGTCGAACCCAGTGTTCAACACCCAAACCAGCGAACTCACCTGGCAAACGGTTGCACCTCAACTTAAACCGGCCGTGGAGGAATATAAGGTGACAGTCGTCACTACAAGCCTTGTTTGCGGGACGACAGAGATGCAGGAAATTGCCGTCCGCTCAAGAGACGATTGTGAGTGTGGCTTGCATATTGCAGCTATTTGTGAGTGCTCAATTACCCTCTTCCCTGAAGGACAACGAGAAACGACGAAAATAGGCTTTAATAATTTGGGCCTTGAAACGGAACCCTCAAAGCTGACGGAACCCGCTAGGCGTACTAGGATGTAAAATCCTAAGGCATGGATCTGATTGCCCCGAATGTGACCCAGCAAGCATTTAGTTAGATGAGTCTAACTGTACGGAACTACGAGTATTAACTAGTATAGGCTCCCTGGGTCCAAAATCTTCCATGTAAGAGGTTCGATAATTAAAATTCAACGGAAACGCGTTAACAGCTAGTCTATATGTTGACTGATAAACGTTAACTCCTCATGGACTGACATCACTTTTTACCGCTGAAATTCTTTGGAACCCAGGGCTCAGAGTCTGATTCAAAACAGCTGGTGTCCGTTCACATTCCCGCATCACAAGTTTAGGGTGGAATGTCCTTCTTGGAGTAGGGGGTTTATCTGTTACTTATTTGCTCACAACATCATTTTCGATTCCATCTAGTGCCAAAATAGTAGATAGGGAACATTTACAGTAATTACACTTGTTTAGCAATGGCTGAAAGACATGCGTCGGTTACAGATGCTGAAAAAAATCTTACCGAAAAAGTCGAGCTCCGCAAAGTGTTGTCCTTCAGCTGAGACCGGTTTCGAAACTGCCGCTCAAAACTTAGACTACTACAGGTCTCGCATGATTAAATAAGCAGTTTATTTACCCTCGTCTTCAGTCCTCAGCCTAAGGTTGGCTTACCAAGTATCAGGGTCGAGTATTTACACTTTTTTTCCTCGCTCACATCAGATATGTCAAGAAAATTAGAACTAGGATCCTAAAAACCTTTTCTAACACATCAAAGGCACGTGACAGGCCTTTTGCAGTCATGCGAATCGTGTTAGATTTGCAACTGAGAGTATTGACTTAGCGAAAAAAGAGAGGGATGATATTTCACTGTTGTACTGGGAAGAACTTATTACTCAAACTATGTTCTCTCTAACTTATTGTTTGCTTTGCATAAAGGCCCCAGTGAGCGATGTCGCACTACAATATGGACCCCCCAGCAGTTGTCGAAACTCCGAAATACCCTATCAAACTATACGTTAGGTGTAAGCCCCCAGTTCGCCAGTTTCGATGTCCACTTTTCCTCTGGTCACATGTCAACTGTATCCTTCACAATCGGAGAATCAGGTTAGTAAGACAGTTTTTATCTGAAAAAAGTTCATTGACCAACATTGATACATGTTTCTGTTAACTGTACTAAATTTCATGCATTTGCAGTTCACCTGGCAACTGGATTTTCAAAATCTTTGTCTACAATTGCACGTGACCTGTAACAATGCAAGCAATTTCCTCCAGTCAACTGATATTTTGTACTCCTATAAACTTTTAGTTACTTTATAAAGAAATAGTTCTTATTTTGCTTAATAAGCGTTCCTTCTTTATTGTTTTTTTATTTTAGTAGCCAGCCCTTATCACCGAAAGTAATTATCTCATGGCTTTTATGCCTATTTGTAATCAGTACTTGATTCAGACACGGAGTACTTCCTAGGATTTTGTTCCTTTATCAAAAAAAGGCTGGATGTGAATGCAGACACCATTTTTCCCAGCATATTTTCTCAAGACCACCTCTAGTAGCGAAATAATATTAGAGGAGGTTTTGCAGACGGGGCCTTTTAATGGGGTGGACTATGCGTTGTAAATTATGCGGCAAAACTGGAAAATCTTATTTACGTCATGCGTTTGTCCCATTAGGGTACGATGCAACTTCATAAAACAATGCTACACGTCCATATTTGGAAAGGGTTAAGTAACTGATCTAGAACTATCATAGCCAGTGAGCTTTCGCGAAGTCTGTCAAGGTTCCACGCGTAAAATCCTTATTGCCCGCATTCTTGTATTAGAGATGACTTTGCGTCATAGTGCAGGACGAGTGGATATTCCTACTCTACGGAAGAATTTCCTCTAAACTGTGCTAAGAGCAGACCAAAGGGTCAGCACTTGTCATGCATTAACCAAGTTTTATTGGCTGATATCCATGTGTTTGCTCTATAATATGATGACTTGACTGTCACAGGAGTTTAGCATTGAGACTCTGTGAATCATGTGTTAGAGGCATTCTGGCTTCCCGCTGACTTTTTACATTTAATCACGTTTTCGAATTTTAAACACCCACTTTTTTAAGAGAGATGGGTGCTCACCGATCAGGTTACGGAACGTGCTTGTTTCGTTGTGCATTAGGGCTCATACTAGAACCCTCGCAAGAAGCCGAACGACGACTAGGAATAGAAGAAGATGACATGATACTGACAAAGACAATGGAGACCGGCTTTGAATCTCAAGTGGTCCACACTTGAGGACGGGTATGACTGGCTGATGACAGCTAATAAACCAGAAATGACCATTTTGGTCTCCCTTGTCTTTGTCTGCACCATATCATTTGAAGTTGGCAAGAAGGGCAGGATTTAATGGTGCCAAAAATATTCGTGACGGCTCGTCAGCTGCGTCCTGTCACTTCATAACACAGATAACGAGTGGAAAGAATACAACAGATTTGAATTCCTGCAGAAAATCAATGCAGAAACAGCAAGGCCAGGGTGTTGGGTAAAGCTGGCTAATCGATAAGGTTGCTAACTCAAACCACGTAGCAGAAGAAAGTGAAAAAAGGGAGCGTTAACGAGCAAAAAATTGAGAGGGGAAGGAGAATCATGGAGCTAGAGGCTACCATGGCAATGCTAAGTTAACCACGTTTTCCAACTGTTTACAAAGGTCTGGTTGCACCCGTCTTATATAGGCCGCCATTAGGTAACGCAATGTCCGAGTTTTTCGTGCCCGAATAAGTACTCGGAAGGAAGTTTTGGGTCGACGGAGTGACCACTATCAAGGAGGTGTTTCGTAATGGAGGAACTCGGGATTTTATTTTCTCGCCTAAGGTGCCATCTGGGCAGGTGCTCAATAGATCTGACTGCCAACTGCCTTTGCGTTCGCCCAATTTACTTGCATCCGCAAACGCATGTGAATTCGTAAACACAATTGGAAGTGGCGTGCATTGGCAAGGCATCCTTTGCCCGCGGAATCGGAAGTGGCTTAGTAGGACTGTATAATAATAGTTCGGCTGCATTGTACGTCCTTTCAATTGTAGAACGCAGCCGTCGTTTGATAGTATTTAAAATATTGTCACCCTTAAAGGGCAAAGATATAAAGACGAGCTTTTGGCCGTGTAGAGTTGCGGTATTTGTGGATGAAACGTGCTGGATATCCTCGCTTAAGTAAAGCTTCCTTGAGGAGTGCAAATACTGCATCTAATGTGTCGTTGGAGCAAATGTTCCTAGCCCTTTGGCAAAGAGCGTATACCAAGTTACATTTCCATTGTGTGGGTACAGAACTCAAAAATGCAAGCAATGTATCTTCCAAGTATTCTTGTGGAAAACGGAACGTCCATAAAGTCTGGGAGCATATGAACCCCTAGGTCTTAGGGAAAACGCTGTTTTGGAGTCCAACAGATTGTTGTCCAGCAACTTTTTAATTATTTTCCAGGCAGAGTCCTCCAATGCCTTGGTATCTTCCTTTCCCGACGTTTCTAAACGGAATTTACTCTGATCACGTAAAACAGCCCCCAGTTTGTCACGTAGTCAGTGCGATGTAGAATGACAGCCCCATACCCCTTGTCAGGTTTAGAAATTATTATTTGTTTATGATGCTTAAAATCAAATGGGACGGTCATGTGTTCGTTAGTTATAGGTGTACGTTGTGTTGTTGGAGCTCTGCGGTACTGGTGCGAAATATCAATAAATTTTGCTTTCAGTCAGCCCACATCGTCAGAAGGTCTGGGTATTAACTCGGATAATTGAGAATTCAAGTCCTCGTCTTACTGTTCCATTGTTTATAAACATATATATGCATGGAAGAAAAGGCCGTCATGAAATCGAATTGTACTCGGGAATTTTCAGGCTGTTTACATCAACCCGCCCTTAGACGAAATAAATAGTGTGGAGTGGGATAGCCGCATTAGGGGGGTTGAAATGTATATTAACGTAGACGTCGGAAGTTAAGGGAAGGTGCTGAAAGTTTAGTTGTGGTTCGCAGTGTCGGTAAGGTGCTAAATCAGTGAAATGTTGCATGATCGAGCATACTTTTTTGTTATTGCTTGCAAGACAAATATGTTCTTGGGGAAAGGTAAGAAAAGTAGAGCATCTTTTCGACGCTGGTTCCCCTGGTCTTCGTCAAACGTTGACAAAAAGGGCTATAACCGGTTAGCGCTTCCAATCTACGTAAACAAATCGACATTTGTTTGGTTTTTGCGATAGGAAGCGGCCGCATTGTACGTCATCATGTGTCGATTAGTTCTTCTCTTCCATATTTCATTGGGGTTTTTTACATGGCATCAAATTCAATGTACCAGTTGATGCATGACTCGTGTGAATGCACGACTTTAAGAAACTTTTGGCATTTTTGGTAAAACAGACACCGACAATAAGAGCTTTGTCCTAGGCGGTGTGCCCGTTATCTAGAATATGCAAGGACGTTTGGGACGGATGGTTTTGCCTCCTAACTGTCAGCGGATACTCGTGGATGTATGTAGAGGCGGATTTTCCACTTGACTGCGGTATACGGTATCGCAGGCACCGCACGGAAACTCTTAGACGACTTCCGTCTTAGTGAGATATCCGGCCTTGTCCTTAGGATGTACGAGCTGAATGCGAACAGTAGTCGTCGATTTGTGCTCCCATTGTATTTGGTGTTTCCTCTAGTGTCTTTCGACGAGTTCAGGCACATTCCTAATGTACGAATAGGCTTGTCAGATATTTACTATGAGCACCTGATTAGAACTAGCTAGTTCCCTTTCTTTTAAATCCTGTTGTTTCATGCATCGACGTTCGACGCCTCTAGGGTAACCATTATATTATTTCTAATTGGAGCTGTTTTGAGCTATTACCGCATCAGCAAATAATAGCATGCTAACATTATTATCTACCTTGAAGCAGACATCAGAAGCGTCGAGTAGTTGCCCTGAAATATTACTCAAACTTGCATTCGAATACGAAACTGTGGTCTACTCTTATCTAGGTCCATCCGATTTGAAGGCTGTCTACGAAAGTGAAACACCACGAGAACATATTGTAAGCCTGGAACCCTTTCAATCCGTGTCTTGTGATATGGAGGTCAACAGATCCGCCTCTGAACCTGACGCCACTTTCGAAATTAAGTCCTTTGGCATTCTGTCAAATGGCAAGTCTCAGATTCCGATTGAGGGAGTGTCTTTCACAAAAGTGGAAGACACAGATCCGCGGACGCCCGGTGGTATGTACCGCGTGGAGAATCTCCTGCCAGGAAGGGAATACGAGCTTAGGGTAAGTTTTTTTTCAGTCTGGGCTATCTAAACTTATGAAAAGGTGCTATTCGAGCAATGTGTTAGTTCATAACAAGATACGGCGAGCATACGCGTGTGTTCCATAGATTCTCATCGGGCCTGTACATTTATATGCGTACGAGGTACAAAGTAAAGCGTGTGAGCGACAAAAGCCATCGACTACGGTCCGTCTTTTCATAGGGGTATGTAAATAGAGGCGGGGGAGAGGAGGCGGTGAGGGAGAGGGAGGGCTAGGTAGAGTCGCGTCATAAGGGAGGGAGGTGACGGGGGCGCGGCGAAATGCATGCAGTTAATCGATCTCTGGCCATGGCAGACGCGGAGCGTGCAAGAGGTCCTTCTGCGCGCACAGGACTGGTCTGCGTAGCCTGATGGCAGTCGCTTCTGCTGTTGCTAGTAGGCGCTGACCCAGTCGCTTAGGATGGTAAGGAGGGACATTGTAAATCACATGGAAGGCTTTGTTGGGATCAACACGATACTCAAAATCAACCATGTGTGTGAGGATGGGGCTGCGTACGCTCATAACTTCACCCTTCCTCAGCCATGCCGGCAGGTGTTCTCGTATTCTTGTGGATAGGCACCGATTCGTGCGACCTATATATCCTGTTCCACAGAAGCAAGTAAAAGAGTAAATGCACATGCAGGTGGTTGGATCTGGTAGCCTATCCTTTCCTTCCCGCATAAGACGGGGCTGATCAAAAACAGTACTTAAACTCTTGCTGTCGGGAAGGTCCGTGAAACGGCCAGGTCACGGCGCCTTCTCAGGAATGCTCTCGCCGCGTCCCTTGAAAAAGAACTTTAAAGAGCGGAGTTTTCCTATCCGCCGCCGGTATGATGAGCTTTGCTGGACGTTCGGCGAGATTCCTTATAATAAATCTGTCAGGATACTTATTCTCTCAAAGCAGGTCCTAGATTCATCTACGTTCTTCATCAAAGCCATCTGTCGAAAAAAACTTTCTTGCCCTATGCACCAAACAACGGACTAGATTACATTTCTGTTGAAGGGGTACGAAACTGTAGAAGTTCGTAATATTGCCCAGACAAGGTGTCTTTTCGATAGACGCTTTTTCGAATTCTGCCGTCAGCTCTTCTGCTTAGAAGGACGTCTGGGAAAGGCATGACGCCTGCCCTTTCCACCACCAACGTAAACCTGATCGACGACTGTGCTTAATTTGCAGCTTCTCAGAGGGTGATTATGTTGATTTCCCTAGTGGCTATTGCGAAGATTTCTTCAAAGTAGCGACCGTAATGCCTTAGCTTATTGATTTGGTCGTTTAACTGAAACCTCTTCAGCTTACACATGAAGGCATCGGCTAGGATAGAACCAAAAAGCGATGCCATATCAACTCCGTCTATTTGTCTATGTATATCTGATTGTCAAAAAGGAACTGCATATTTTGTTTGAATTATAGTAAAAATCCCCTGAATGCGTTCGTCGTAATACCTATTTTCTGGTGGTTGGTTGACAGAAATTCAAATAGGTACTCGGCTGTCTCTGTGACCGCAACGCTTGTGAAGAGTACTGAGGCATCAAGTGAAAACATCACCATACCATTTAGGTTTAGGTTTTTAATGTCATCAATTAATCTGAAGGTATCCCGATGGCTATGTGGTGCTAGTTGATACTGTACAGACTTTAGTTTTTCTGCTAACCACATCTCTACCGCATGATAGTGAGAGTTGCGTACGTCCAAGATCGGACAGACTCGTAGGCCATTCTTGTGGATATTCGGTTGACCATACAATCAGGGAATGTGTGTGCCTACTGAATGAAGGTTTTCGAGTCCGCGATCGTTTATGAAGTCTTCTCCTTGGAGTCTACGCAGGCATTCGGTTAGTTGTGACTCTACTTCGTCTGTGCAAGCTTTTCTTTGCCATCTTTCTTGAATTTCTTCTGTTCTGACAATATGGACTGTATTTCTGTCACATAATCCGACCATTTTATTATAACAACGCCTTGGTTGTTAGAACTTCAAATGTATTGCCTTTAAACTCGAAGTACATAGCAGCCAAATAAACCATGTTTGTTTTAACTATTATCTGAGATGGATGACGTCGCTTTTACCTTTTTTCAATTCCTGGAATTCATGCAACATGTAGTTTCTTAAATATACGCAAGTGTTAGGTATACGGTGAGTGGTGACCGACCATGGGCATTTTCAAGCAATTCTCTTTCGTCTTTTGGTTTCAGGGAGCCATCAAGTATCCAAGTGGGATAGAAGATGAGATGTCAAAGGAGATTTTATTTATCACGCCTGACGGTAACTTCTACGAACACCCCGTTTCGTACTTATAATCTAAGATTTTCAGGACTGTAGAAGCACATTCTTCATGAGGTATTGTCTCGTCTATTTAGAGATTTTGGTCGACGTTGATGAGGCAATAAAGGAGCTGGGAGAAGAATTACAACTTAACTGTAAGGCGTACGTCGGAACTCAAAATGACACCCAAAAGGAGGTTTTATGGCTTCGTAGTGACAGATCACGACTCCCCGAGGGTGCCTCCTCAAGGACGAACCGGACGCCTAACGCCGATGGCTTCTGCACTGCCACACTGATGATTCCAAAAGTCGAAACTTGGCATGCAGGCGATTACGGATGTTTTGTGGAACCGCCGGTTGAATTTTTCCTCCATGTGCCGGCACGATCAGTCCTATTTACCCTCCGGGTAGGCGGTAAGTTACCCCTGTCAATCAACTTACCTTAAAGATTACTTCATTTGACGTTTTAAGGCATTTTCATTTAGCCATCATTGATGCAACCTAGTCTTTCATGAAACAATTGTGTTACCAGCAGATTATTTCTGCCTACCGCATTTTTGTAAACTTTTCTAGTCAAACAGGTTTCTACTGAATTGTCTTGTCCCCTTGCACCATCTCTCCCCTTTTGCTGTCGAAAAAAATAAGCATCGGAAAACAGTTTTTGCCTCGCAATTGCATCTTTTCGCATTTTATGCTACAGTCTTATGACAAGTTAATATACAGAATACTGTTTTACAGTTGCGAAAATTCGCATTTGAAAGTACAAAGGACAATTGGTTAACATAGCTCTGCTTTCGATAACTTTTCTTCAGGCCTGTACATTGATTTTGTTGTTGAAGTAAATATTAAAAAGGATCGAGTAAGTAGATAATTATGCTGTAGCTCGGGTTTTAAGGAGGGGTGAGAGAGAATTACCAAAATTACGCTTAGTTTCAGGTGGATAATGGTCACCGGGAAAGGCAGTTATGCGCAAGTGGCTTTTTAGCTCCCCAGAAATCAATCATTAATTTGAAGTAAACAGGTGTATTAGAGACTTATAAACTCCGGCTGCAATTTTGCATGCAGCGGAGTCCATCAGCCACAACGGAATAACCGTGTACTACTTATGAACTGTCGACAGGCAGCCAGTAGTATAAACAGGTTACACGATAAACCATACTTTATTAAACAGGTACTAGCCAAAAGCCCAGACTCGTGTTTCTCCGACATTCTACCGTTGCTATCCGGAGTTCGGTTTATCAGTGTTCCACGTTTGCGCTCCGGTAGACACTCCAGTCTTGAAATTGCAGGTTTCCAAGTTTCTTAGAAATTACTCGCCAACGTGGAGTAACTCAGTCTAGTTGAGACTTATAGATTGAGACTGAAATTATTTATGACCATTTGGGCCGAAATCCTCCGCTACTTATGAGGAAACAAAAAAAGCTGCAATCTCAAAACTGGAGTATCTATCAGAAAGCACGGGGGAACGCTGGAGGGCTCGTTTATTAGCAGAGCACCTCGCAACTGTGTCAAGCAGCGGCAGAATGTCAGAGAAAAGCGTTTCTGGACTTTCGACTAGTGCTTTTGCTGTCAAGTATGGCATGTCGTGCAAAGATGGCATTACTGACTCATTAAAAGGGAAAACAAATTTTATTTTAATACAGCAGGTGTGCTAACTCATGCAATGCCTTTTCATTTCGAAAAGATTAATTAAGTACGGTTGTAAAACTAATCATCATGCAATGTAATTCTTTAATAATTCAGTTATCACAAGATGTCGGCTGTAGAACAAACTCCTCTTCGGTAGCATGCAATAACCATACTCTGTAAAACATGATTACTTATGTGACATGCATTTTTCTCGTTGATTTTCTATGCCCTTAAAAATCCATTGTATTTCACGGAAACCATATATAAAATATTTATTCTCTTGCTCATTCGGTAGAAAATAAAGGTTTCTTCAAATTTTATAGTTTCAGACAGGGTATAATTCGATTGTAAAAAACAAAAAACAAAAAAACAAAAAAACAAAAAAACAAAACAAAAAAACAAAAAAAAACAAAAAACAAAAAAACAAAAAACAAAAAAACAAAAAAAACAAAAAACAAAAAAAACAAAACAAAAAACAAAAAACCGACAAGGCAACGGGCTCGTGGCCCGGTGAGTAGAGGCGTTGACTTCTAAACCAACAGGTCGCGAGTTCGAGGCTCGGGTGTTCCACACTTCGGGCTTGGGTATGGCTGGCTGACGACGGCTAATAAGCCAGAAATGGCCATTCCAGTCTCCCTTGTCTTTGTCGGTAATATCATTCTGCCTATATTGATTATTGTGAGATTTTGTAACATCTTGAAATGGCCGTTCATAAATCGTCAGATCTCTGCATTTAGCAATGTGGTTTGAAAAGTTAACAACATGGCCCAAATTCGCTGCTAAATTTTATGAACCATATATATTCTTCTCTTACTAGCGTCGAGAAATGTTTGGTTTTCTGTACGCAGAAATTATACGGCTAGTAGTTTGGAAACTCTGAATGCAATTGTAACGGCACGTCGGGGGTAAAAGTATTCGGAAATTGAAAAAGTTTGCGATAACCAAATTATACCCTTCCTTAAAGAATGTAACCTGAAGGGGACGTTATTTTCTACCGAATGTGCCAGAGAATAAATATCTTTTTTATGGTTTCCATAAAATGCAATTGGATTTTTAAGGGCATAGAAAATCAAAGAGAAAAGTGCATGTCACATAAGCAATCATGTTTTACAGAGTATGATCGTTGCATGCTACCGAAAAGGAGTTTGTTCGACAACCGGCATCTTGAAGTAACCGAATTATTATAGAAATATGCTGCATGATGATTAGTTTTACAGCCCTACTTAGTTAATCTTTTCGAACTGTAAACGCATTTCAGAATTTCGTTCGACATTTCATGAGTTAGCCCACTTACTGCATGTATGCATTTACATGCATATGTGATGTGAGGCCATCAGCACAGACAATGGAGACGGGGTTGGGCATTTCTGGTCAACCAAACGTCCTCAGGTCGTTTTGTCCAAACCCAGATCTGCCATACTCAAACCTTTATCCCGCGTTGTTTGGCCAGCTGTCTCTTCCTGCATATATTACTAGCCTCTCTGTTATTACCTGTTATGACATTGTATGAGCCCTGAGGCATGGCATTATGAACGGATCCAGTAGTTCAATCGTACTGATATATATATATACCAGCGAGGAGGGACGACAGAAAATGCAGGTAGACTGATACAGTACTGTTTTGGGCTCATTTTGCCTCTTGCCACGGACCCTACTAAAAAGCAGAGTACGGCGATTGAAAAAGTTCTAAAACGTCTCACAGGAAAGAAGCAAATATCAGGAGATATTGCCAAATCCTTACGACAAACTGAGCCAGTCATTGCTAAAATCTATGGACTGCCTAAGGTTCACAAACCTGAAATACCACTGCGACCGATAGTATCGTTAATCGGTGCACCTAATTACAGGATTTCTAAATGGCTATTCCACAAACTCTATCCGTTGACAAAGGATTGTGAAACATCAATCAATAATTCGGCTGAGTTTCTGGACAAATTACAAGGACTGAGAATCTCAGCAGATGAAATAATGGTATCCTTCGATGTCGTTTCTCTGTTCACCTCCATACCATTGGATTTAGCCAGACAATATACAGAGGAACGTCTCCAGTACCACGACATGGATATCCCTGCATCTGCTTTGTTAGAACTCTTAGACCTTTGTCTAGAAACGAACTTTTCATTTGCACAGGAATACTACCAGCAGCTGAAGGGAGCCCCTATGGGATCACCCATCTCTGGTTTTCTCGCAGAAATCACGATGCAGAAGCTAGAGGCTATCGCCTTACCACTAGTTAACCCCAAATTATGGGTACGATATGTTGATGACACGTTTGTCATTGTGAAAAGTGATCAACTGGAAATAGTCCACAATATTATAAACTCAACACTTCCAGGAATCACATTCACACTCGAGAAGGAGGCTGACAACAGACTCCCATTTCTTGATGTCCTCGTACAGAGAAAACCTGACGGGACATTTCATACTTCGGTTTACCGCAAAGAAACCTACGCGGAAGTTCTTTTGCATTACGAGAGCAATCACCCGATCTCTCACAAAAGGAGTGCCGTGAACAGCCTCCTTGCCCGAGCAAGAACTCACTGCTCTGACAACGAAACATATCAAACAGAACTGAAGTATCTGTTCAAACTGTTTTCCCAGAATGGGTATCCTAGATATTTTGTACACCGATGCATGCGACGACAGGAGTTAAAAGAAAAAGAGAAGGAACTAGATTGTTCCGATCAGGCGCCTAAACCAAAAAACTGGCGAACACTTCCATACATTAAGAATGTGTCCGAACTAGTTGAAAGACACCTGAAGAAGCACCAAATTCATGTGGCGCACAAACCGACGACTACACTTCGTAACCAGCTTGTACACCCTAAGGATAGGGTTGGCTATTTAGATAAGAAGGAAGTCGTCTATAAGATACCATGCAACACCTGCAATGCAGTTTACTGTGGTCAAACTGGGAAATCGGCCTCTACGCGAATACACGAACATCAGTTGGCCGTAAGAAGGCGCGACTACTTGTCCCAAGTTGCCATGCATACGTTGGAAACGGGCCACAAATTCGCATGGGACAGGACTCGCATTGTTGGTGTTTGTTCATCAAAAAAGGGCCGTGAATTTTTAGAGGCCATCCATTCTGACAGCGCGTGCATCAATCGACACGTAGAATTGGATACGGTGTACAACAGCCTCAAAGAAAAGTGGAAAAGGCGTTAGCCAATCAGAACATCACACCAGCAGGAGTAACAAGGCAAAATCGATTTTTCGGCATGTTTAAATGTTAACTGTGTTGCACACTTACTTCACGTCTGAAGACGACTTGGGGAACCAAGTTCGAAAATTTACAATAAAACTTGTTTAATATTTCCCAAAGAGCTGTTTTCTTTCGAATTATGATTCTTGGGATGCCTGTTTTCCAATATATATATATATATATATATATATCTATAATTATGATAGTGGGCGCTCACCGATCAGGTTACGGAACATGCTCGTTCCGTTGTGCCTTGGGGCTCATACTTAAACCCTCGCAGGCAGTCGCACAGCGACTAGTGATATATGTTCCGTAACCTGATCGGTGAGCGCCCACTATCATAATTAATATTCCCGATCACAACCGACAGGACAACGGGCCCGTGGCTCAATGGTAGAGCGTTCAACTCCATGACCAAAGATCCCGGGTTCGAATCTCAAGTGATCCACACTTGGGGTTGGGTATGACTGGCTGATGACGGCTAATAAGCCAGAAATGGCCATTCCGGTCTCCCTTGTCTTTGTCGGTATTACCTTTCCATATATATCTATATATGTGTGTAGAATGGTACTACCGACAAAGACAAGGGAGGCTGGAATGGCCACTTCTGGCTTACTAGCCGTCATTGGCCAGCCATACCCAACCCCGAAATTTGGAACACCTGGGGCTCGATCCCGCGACCTGTTAGTTAGAAGTCCAACGTCTCTAACCACTGAACCACGGGCTCGTTGTCATGCCGGTCGCGATCGGAAATATACGGTGCTAGAGGAGCGGTCACTGATTGTGTTACAGAACTCACTCCTCCCGTTGTGCCTTAGGGCTCTCTCTCTCTCTTGAGCCCAACCAGCAGCCGCACAGCACCCATGACTCAGTGGTTGGAAGCGTTAAGCTTTTAACCAACAGGTCGCGGGATCGAGCCCCAGTTGGATATGACTGGCTGACAACGGCCAATAAGTCGGAAATGGCCATTCCAATCTCCCTTTTCTTCGACGGTAATACCATCCTGCTTATATCACACGCCGATGTGCAGCTGTTGGTTCGGCTTCAGAGAGACCTAAGGCACAACAGGATCGGTGAGCGCCCTCTACTATTAAATATAAAGCCGCATAAGTGGCGCAATGCAAATATAATAAGACCTGGGATCTTATTCCTTGGATGGGTACCCTAAAATAAGGGAGCAGCATGGATCAGTTTGCAGATCACATCTTTCATGCACTTAACGCATATTTTCGTTCTAGTACACGTGTGTCATTATGGATATGTCATGCCTAGTTGACGTCCGCAACCTTCAAAATTACATAATTTGCGCAAGCCAAGACCTCTTTAAGTACGCTTCATCACCACTCTTAGGCAAACAAAGGAGGAGTTGTGATGACGACACAATTTCGGTCTAAATTCGACTTTCCTCGCGGTAATCAGGCAATAAGTTGTCTAAATCGCTTACATTTGTCTCTTCGCAGGTCTGACATTAGACAAAAAGCAGTACAAAGCCAAACGGGGCGAAACCGTCGAGGTAGTCTGCTCAACTACCCAATTTGGCCCTCTTACCTGGATACTTGCTGATGGAAGACATGCGCCAGTGTACCCATCCGCTTCAAGTGCTCCCACCGCTGAACCAGTCTTTGCAACGCCTGAGAGTCCGCCATCGGACAGGAGTCAGGCTCTCCGGTTATGGATAAAAGAGGCTGCAGAAAGCACAGAAGGAGACTACGTCTGTTCAATGAAAAACGAGTCTAACAGTGCTGAAATCACACAGCGCTTTAAACTACAACTGAATTCAAGTATGCTTTTCAAACAATTTTGAAAGTACAGCTAGATTACTGGGGTTATATTCAGTAGCTAATTTATACGGATATAATGGCACATGCTGTCAGCTAGTCTTTACAATCCACCCTGTGTCCACGCCACAAACATTAGATAGTATTTTAATGTGCAGAAGGCATGCTGATGATTCTCGGCTGGAAGCAAAGCTGAATTCGCTTTGTTCTGTTGACAGCTCAAAGTCAGCAACATAATTTTGTGTTTTCCGAGCTAACGACAAGATTATCATGAATGGAACCGTTGCCTCTTTTTAAACCGAAAAATTTTGCCCATAAATTAACACAACAGCGGGTGCTTCCACAAAGGCCAAACCTTTTTTAAAAGACAAACTTACAGACCCAGGTGCATCAAGGAACCTGAATGATGCCTTCAAATATGCCAATATATCAATGTTTGTTAACCCACATTTAAGTGGGCAAGTGGCGACAAAATTTGAAGGTAACTTTAGAAATTGCGTATCGCAGCAGGTATTAATCGACCCCAGACTCGGTTTTCCTGCAAATGCGGATACTGTCTGCTGCTGTTGTTCAGAAGCTTCGTCGTTTTTAGATCATTAACCTAAGCTAGTTACTTTTTATTGGTGTTTCCGGGACATTTTATAAGATGAGCTTGAAGAGCGCGCAAAAACATGCAAATTCATATCTGCTGCTTCTTGTGTTCCTTTTTAAGAATTTTTAACCTCCTTCGTCCTTATTACTCTCTCAATGCCTTTCTTTGGATGAAATTTTGGACCAAGACCCACGCTGACCCTGGGCGGAATTGCATGCTTGTACGGATTTAGGGCGAAGCATTAGCGCGAAGTGATACGAAGGGGCTAGATGTATTTGCAGGCCATGGATCATCAGATGCTGCAATGCCTGTCTGGGGCACGATGTATCTGTCAATTCTTGGTGTAACTGTGTTGATACACCGATCTTCCACAGTTGATAGGGGATCAAGGTTTTAAGTCACGAAACAAAACTGTCAGAAAGCCAATTTCAAGTGGATACAATCAGGGTACTCCGTTTCAAGCACACAAAAAAACCTTACCCCAAGGTATTTTTAAAGTGAACTGCAGTTTTCGAGCGATATTGGCAGTTGGTGGTTCGAACAGTAGCCTCTGAATCCATCATAAGGCTCCGTGTCACCGCATTACAGGCAAGAATCCTAAAATATTTCTTCCGTTTTTCGTGATCTTAGAAGTTCACTGTACTATAAAATTGACATTTTAATTGTCCGAGTGCCTTTTGTAAAACGGCCCGATGTATCTGCCAAAGCAGGGGACTAAGCCTTTTAGTTAGTTTTATTATTCCTAACTCAAACTCTTTTTCTTACTAGGTGGAAGCCTCACACCCAAGGGTAGGCTGGCATGGGTAAAGCGATTAATCACAGCACCGTTTCACACGCACCCTGCCAATCTGTTTGATTTTGTGGCATGATTGCACAGTCGACTTGCAGTTCCTCAGAGAACACAGCTCATCATCCTCCCTTTCTCTTTATTCAGTGTGAATGCATGCGGTAACATTTCATGACTGTTCTTTTTTCGTTGAATACCGAATGCCCTTGTCACTCGATATCCACTTTCTCGCCGCTTTTTCGAGGGTTCGGTATTGTGAAAATAAACACGACTCCTGTCACATTCGGCGAAGAGCATGTATTTACGTGCAAGGCAGAATCACCGAACGGGGTTCATTCAATCAGATGGTACTGGTACCGACCAGAGGATGCCGTGTTCGAAGCAATAGAAGGGACACGCAACGGCGTGTCGGCCCCTGCTGATGTGAACATCTCCAGCATCTCCACCCTACGCATTCGCGCTCTGCCAGGCCTCCAGGGCACTCTTGTATGTGCACTTATCCCCCCAGATTGGGAGTTTTCAGAAGAGTCAGAGATTCCGTACTACGCCATGTCCGAGAGTATCCTTGCCAGGGCGGAGACGGAAGTTTCCTATGCTGCATGTGAGTGTTCGATTCCTCCTGAATACTTTCGCAATTTCGCCAGACTGTGTTTTGTAGATGCCACCTGCACTTCTTCCCACTCCATCATCACTCAAAGGAAGCTGAGCTTAGTAGCATGTGTTCACTGACATGAAGGAATTAAGCCTTTTACCTGTCCAGGAAATATTTTAGTTTCTGATAGGAAGGTTCTTTCTGCAGCCTGGGAAGAATCTCCACAACGCCATTCACCATCCAGCTGTTGTATCTTATCACAAGACCTAACTGGTTGCCCGTAGGGGTAAACGGGAGCAATCCACATACTGTCAATAGAAACGAAGAGACGAGTCCCAGAAAGCAGTCTTGAAGAATGAGACACGATCGCCAGGACAAGGGCTTTATTAGCCTGACGTTTCGGATTCCTGCTCGAACCTATCACCAGAGACAAAAGCAGATAAGGATGGTTCATGCATACTCAGCGCTGAGACTTCGCCTAGATGGAGTAATTGGCCACGCGGGGGGCGCACAAGTGAACACTTTTTCCAACACCAGGGTCAGCGCGTCAGATGGTCGAGCAATCGTCACACCAACATCCAACGCACGTGATGAAATTGCAGCACTTAACGACGCCAATGTCGGCCATCACGCCACGTGCGACGATCCCTGATGAAGGGTGGGAGCCGTCAATATTCGTAGCTGTGCGGTAGCATGGCGACTGCATCCTATAAATACTGCAGCCCCTTATGCATGAAGTACCTGTATCTGCTGTTGTCTCTGATGATGCGTTCGAGCAGGAATCCAAAACGTCAGGCTAGTAAAGCTCTTGTCGCGGCGATCGTTTCTCCTTCAAAAATCCACACACTAGCAGCCAAGCTGGATCACCCCTTTTGTTTCAAGGCCTGGCGCGCTGTATGGGAGGCTGGATCGTGTGTGGCACGCGTAGACAAACCGTCCTGCTCTGCCACCCAGTCCCCGCATCAGCTGACAGACCGGCTTTGTCCTCCTCTTAGGACGTACAGTCAGATTGCAATGGCTCCTTCTTAACGTGTCTCCTACAGAACTTTCATTCAGTTGGGATAAGATCCGCAACTTTTTCTTGTTGTGTGAAAACCTGGCCATTCGTTCGCAGACCAGACGTGCGTTGAACTCGTAGAAGAATTGCTTACCCCTGTCATGCTTTGCGCCTGAACCCGCCTCGGGCATTCTTGACTCCGTGTTGACACCGGGTCCAGGTGGGTGTAGGGGGTGAGAATGTTTTTTTTACTAATAATAATTTTTATTCCAGACCCATGGGGGTCCTTTCATAGCAAGTAAGAATAACTTTTACATGAATTTTGGGACAGGTAAACAGAATCCATACGATACTTAATTCATTGTTATTAAATAAGTAGTATGTTAGGAAGAATGATGAGCAAGCAGTGAAAAAACACCCAACATCTAAACAAAATGAGTATGACTGGACAAACACTATAGGAGAAAAAATCTCTCGCTCCTAAATATATAAAAAACAGGCAGGACCGGCCTGTGTGTGGCAGTATATAATGAATTTTATGAAGGGGTAAGTAGGCGGGTCAGTCAGGACTGGCCTGTATGTGGTCTTAAGTAAAAAGGTTCGAAACGGGCATCATCAAGGCAAAATTCATATGTCGGGTGAGGCCATTCATGTCAAAGTGGCGAACTGAAAACCAGTCTCGAGGCGATAGGAGCCCAGATGCGATCAGTTAAAGTCAGCCGAGTCCAGCCGAGGAGCGTGCAAGGGAGATGCCACCATACTACTAGTGATGGACGCTGCGCAAGTCTGCTGTCATTATAAACCAATTCACGCGCAATTCACTATCCCTGCACCTGTCTTGTTGTTGGCCACACTCTGACCGTAGTCGGAATCGACTGTTAAACTGTCAGTCAGTTATCGGATGCTTAGCCTAACTGCATTGTTCCAATCAGGCTTCGGCGAACTAAAGGGTTGCATAGAACTCTCTGAGGGACAAAGGATGTGGCAGTACCTTTAAAACTGTACAGGTGTCCACTGGTACCTCGAGACCTCGGAATCCCAATCTATAATACTCACGGTCGATAGTGTAGCGGAAGGGAGACGGAGAAAAGTACTTTTCTACAACCGGAAATCACGCTTCCACGTGATCGCATATATTTTTACTTGCATCTGACGAGGTAAAATCTCGCGGTTAAGATGCTAGAGCGTTTGACAAATATTTCATGTTTCATAGATGTTTTGCCATATTTTGAATAATTCATATGGATACAAATGTGAAAACTCGGCGCCTCGGTGGGTTTCGAACGCACGCAGTAAAGAGCAGGCTTTAGTACGGCCAACGCTCTAAGCACTTGAGATACGAGGCCCGGGTCAATATGAATTATTCAAAATCTGCCAAAACATCAATGAATTACGTGAGCCTCGTAGTCATCTGGTGGATTCTAGGGGAATTACTTAGGAAATCCTGCTTGGGCAGTCAACTTACTGTATTAGATTTCGTGGATTCCAGACGTTGCAGTAGGTTGGGCGGGTAACTTGACTCAGATGTGATTAAACTCGCGTCGTCCGGCGGGGCCTCGCAGCTCAGGTGGTTAGAGCGTTGGCTGTACTAAAGCCTTCTCCTTACTGCGTGGGTTCGAATCAGACCATGGCGCTGAGTTTTTCACAGTTGGGTCAATATGAATGAAATACTCAATGATCAACTGAACTCGGGCTCATGTCTCAGGCTCTAAAATTACATTCTCTGGAACACTTTTCACCAGAGAAGGAAGTTTACCCTTATCCACTCTAAGGGATTAGGAACTGGCGTATATTTTATAAGTCATGAGTTACTAGCAACAAAATCTATCCTTTCAGAGAGCATTTTGCTGTAATCATCTTTCACTGCGGTGTAGTAATTTGAGCCGATATATCGGGCATTTTTTGCCACTTATTTTGGCTTATCCGTAAGATAATCTAATAAGAACTGCCTTTCACCACTGTCTCTCAAAAGAAATTTAAAATTTACTAATTAAAAAGAGATTAAAGATCGCTACACTCGGATATGCTGACAATAAGATTATTTTATCTCCTCAAAGCTGATCCACTTTCACACTACAATTTATGCTTTGCCTCTAATCCTAGCTATCGAAATCAGGAAACCCTACGAACTCGAATTAGGAGACAGTATAGCGGTCGATTGCTTTGGCTACCCTTCGGTTGCAAATGAACAACTGCAATGGACTTTTGAGGGGATCAACGAGACCACCACTTCCTTTGTTATCCAGCCTGATGTTTCTAATGCCTCGGTAACGGAATTTCATGATCATTTACCTTAACATTATGCGATCATCTTTATGCCAAAGCATTACTTCTAACTATCTTTATATCCTCATTCCTTTCGCCGTAAAACCCCCAAAAGCGAATTTCTCGTGTCAATCAAGGTTCATGTATTCAGTGTATTTCTTTGGTTGATGATTATGTTCTGTATTTCAGCTAACTTGGAAAACGTGAGAGGTCAGCCAAAGGGCACTGCAAACCGACAAACCAGTCAGATCTTATTTAGAACTAATTATAATATATTGCAGTCGCTGCTCATAATCCTTTGCCTAGTTTAATTCGGGCGCTATTCAGTAATTAAACAATCGCAGCTAAATTGTACTCATCCGACACGTGACAACGTATAAAATTGTCTCATAGAGGCTTAGCAGCATTTGGCTTGAGAAAGCAACGCGTTTGCATGTCACCCTATGATTCCATCTAGGTGACCTTACTAGTCACTTTGATTTGGCTCCCTAACGGCCCTGCTAGCACATGACCTCGTCCTGACACTAGAACCAGGCGAAGAATGGAGTGGGGTTATGGACGAGGCTGACGGATGGTTCGTCATTTTACACAACTGATCAGTAGTACTGCAATTTTCGCCGTATAGTTGGCGTTCGTCGTATAGCCCACCGTGGAGGGATAGTGCTACACGTGACTTACTTACCATTATTTATTTTGGAAGACGGGAGTGAACGGGGTCACCTGTTGAAATCTCAGAGTTTGGCCCTGTCGTATGTAAGTAAGCGGGCGGTATTAAACGGAGGAGCCACTTTGACCTCTGGTAACAAAGACCAGGAGGTATTTTGCTTGCATGATTTTTCTGCATGATAATCTTTACACTGGGAGTGTCCACGCTATTTGTGCTATGAAAACTTGCAGTGTTATCAGACACCTTGGTTGAACCCGGAAACGCGGTCCTGTCTGTCCAGCAAATCATCTCTTTTGCACTATTATCGATTTCAGTAGGCGTAGTGCTGCTTGTGGATAATTTTAATTTGAGGTGCTCCACTGGCAGCTGCGATCATGACCCACAATTACGCTGGGGTTAGGGTTTAGGGTTAAGGCTTATGTTGGAGGTGGGACAAGGGCTTAGTGACGGGTTTTATGTTTTAGGGATAGGACTTAGGGCTTAAGTGTAGGGTAAGTGTTAAGAGTTGTGGTTTAGGGCTGGGGTCTATGTAAGTCAGCACCCACTTTCTACAACTTTCATCAGTGGCTTAGGTCTGATTGACCACACTCTTGGATGGTTCCGTTTCGATGACGGGTCAGTTACCATTATTCCTGGTGGAATTGGTTTCTACTGGTTACCTGCGGCAAAATTTTGTAGTACGCTGAAATCCAATGCCCATTAAAATAAACTAGCACATTTGCCTACAATGCTTCCGTTTTCTCCACGGTTTTCGTAGTCTCCGCTCTCTTTCAACAGCCCCCCCCCCCTGAAACCCGTGTTACCACGGTCCTCGTATTCGACGCACCTGGGCTCCTCCATTTCCTACTATGACCACGTTTCCGAGTCTTGCCAAGAGCTGTTCTAGAAGTGAAAACACCTGGACGTGGGTCATGGTTCAGTCTATCCCCGTTTGACAACACCCACAGGATGGAGTCATGTGGTAACTGGGTCAGGCAAAAGGACCGCTATAGTCGCCTTTGACTTATTCGCCGCTCTATCCAACCCTGACTCAATCTCTCGTGGTATGCGAACCAAATCAAGCACCGAGATAGCACGTAAAGGTCATAGCTGCTAGTATCATAGTCACAGTACTGATCCAGGTATATGCTTTAGAAGTACCCGTCTTACTGTCTTTGCGGGATATTGCGTCGTTAACTGCAGCAGTCCCCATTTGCCTGCCCAGAATGTTTCGTCCTGCAGTAGTCGACTTGCCAACAGCCATTTATCGGGCGCTATTAATTATCTACTGTTAGTATTCGGTCTAGCTGTTGATTTTCACTACATTTCAGAGTGTAAAGGACCTGCGTAACTGCTTCTCTATCGGCATGAACAGCGCAGCCAAATGGCCTGAGCATCAAACAGACGATAAAGACGCCTATAAACCGGACCATCTTCGAATACATGTATATACCGACAGATCCTGTTTAGAAGCTGAGGGAAGACTTACGTGCCGGTATTCTGGTGAGAGCGATGGTCACTCAGCGACCAAATCAAAACTTCAGAGTGGGATAAACAAGGAGCGGGCGGTCGCTGCAGTTCTTCTGAAGGAAATACGAGGCAAGTTCCCTTCAAATTAGCAGACTTAAATAGCCCAAGAATGTATTTAGAACCTCCTGAAGACGCATTTTTATTTTCACTTGTCTTTTGCTTTTCTCAAATAATGAAAAACAGTCTGGCATATTCATGCACGATAAAGCAACTAAGTGTTTTCAAGGATACAGCCCGACCGTCAAGCCCCCATTTAATACAATTCACGTATAACATGTGCATGAACACCAGCGAACTAAACAGATTGTGGTCAGCTATGAAGAGTTCTGACTGACTCATGGGTTGGTGTCTGTTGTCTACGGGTGTAATGTCATCAACGGTCGTTAAGTAGATACAATTCAGATCCTAAGTAGTGGGATGCTTGCTGGAAGTTGTTTTCGCAACTTTTGGGGGTCAAGTATCCGTCTATGCTTCCAGCTTGTTCGAAGTATAAAAAAGTAATTGGTCGTTAGCTGAATGCAGAACAAAAGAACCTCTTGGCAGATGCAATTATAGTTCATAGTTTAATTTATAGGTTTTTTTCGTAAAACGTTTTTTTTCTACCGTCAGACGGCCTCTTACTTTGGTACCCCTTCTGAGATATGTTTATCCTATTTTGACCACATAAGTAAATACCTAAGTTTGAAAAGCCCTATCCCGAGACTGAAGTCAAACCATTCGAAACTCCCATTTCAGGCGTCCACAAACAGAATTCCACTTCTCCAAAAAGACAATCAGAGGATGGAGAAAAATCGCATGAAGAAGAAGGTAAAATGAAAACGATATTTCTTCACTTATTTGATGATATGTCCCTGGAAAAAATAGCCTCTTAACTAACCGTGTTTAAATACGTTCTTGACGAAAGTTAAGTCATTTGTCCATGGACGAATCCGCCTAATTTAAGTGATCATAAATATGAAACCGCTATGTTAGAAGAGTCCATACCTTCATGTTCTTGAATAAATAGTAAAATTTTCTTTATTAGCAAGGTTACAATTCGGGGTATCGGGACTTCCCCTTGCTTCTAATTCAGTGTCCTCGATCTCTCGAAAAGTACCAAATTCATTTAAATATCAATTTGCAATAGTATCAACGAGCGTATCCGTTTGTTGGACTTAGGTAGAATGTTGAGGAAGTAGACATTATTAAAAAGGGCCCAGATCTAATTGCCAGAGCCCATCTGCATTCGTAGCTCTGATCTATTTTTCTCCACTCTGTCAACAGGAAGTACAATATCGTTAGAAGTCTCCCCCATCACTGCCAACCGACCAGAGGATACAGAGGGTGAAATTCGAGGAAGTGCTGGCGAATTTATTAAACAGAGGACCTCAGACTCCGTCCGCATAAATCCCTACATCTTTTTCTCCTTATTTCTCACGGTAGCTCTCAGACGCAGCCTTGTCCAAGACTACTTTGTTCTTGTCTAACCCTGCTCCCAATCTTTTTCTGTCCCCCCTCTGTCAGGATGTGCATTTGTTCTCTGATCTAGCTTCTCCTTGGTTTTCTAACAACAAAAACTGATATCTCCTAATCATACACTTTTAGTTTAGATTTGCAAAATCCTCCAGCCCCATGTGTTACCTCGATGAAATTTCTAACAGCAAATCTGGGCTTACCGTTTATGACCAAAGTCTCCGATATCCAACTGTCCTTGCTCGTTTATATCGTTTCCTTTCCGGCCCTGACAACCCGTTACAATGCGTTCCGGAACACCTTCAAGGTCCAAAATCTTCTTGGGAACTGCTAGGAAACCTTGTAGGAATTTTTTTAATAAACAGTACTGAGAGAACTTCGGATTATTCACATAAACTTCAGATTTTACAAGGAAGCTACTCACTGGACAGTGCGCGTCTATACGGCGCCGTACGGGTCTGAGTTATCTGATATTCTCACTTCCCTTGAGTGTGTAGAGGACGTCTGCGAGTTTGCTGGTTGCGGCTGAAAGTATTTTGCCGGTTGCATACCTAGTACTAAATGTCTGAAATCAATGGCAGCAAAATTCGAGATAATCTTCTACATGAGGACTTAAATTAAAGCAGTTAGGCCTTAGTCCTAACAGAACAATCCTAAACTACACGTCGCCCAAGCATGACAGATTGTGGGGCTAATGTTGAACTGGGGAGTTTGCAGTCCTTCCTTGTCATTTGATTCTGTCTAATTTTCTCTGGAGTGTGAATTTGGAAGATACTAAAAGCAAAGACAAGAAACACTGGAGCGATCATTTGGGGCTTATTTGACTTCGTCAACCAGGAATTCCCAAAAGTTAGTGCCTTTGCACTAGAGATCTCAACCCGGATCTAATAGGCTATGTGCATTTGTGTCAAGCGCTCTTACCCTTTCGACCATCGCGCAATCTCTTCTTCAAATTCAGTGGAAGGTATCCAGCCACATGTGGATAACGTCCGCCTATCTATCCGGATTGCGAAACCGTAATTGACGATTTTATTTGGTCACGAAGTTGCGGATCATAAGGCTAGGGTTGAAAAGTGAAAGTAACTATCGACGGAACTCCACTTTTATAAAATAGCTCTGTCAAAATGCCGAGTCCGGTAGGAATACATCTGAATTGATTCTTGCACATTACAGTTGTTAAGCTATTTACGAATTGGATCGCAAGTGTTTTTTTCTAGTAGACACACGCTTTCTTCCCGCAGAATACCCGTCTAACCCAAGTTAGGTTTTGTGTTTTGCCCGTAAAATTCGTACTATTTTCTTCAGAAAAGGAGTCTTTGCTTAGAATACGAACTCGTTTATACTCATTGCAATGACTCCCATAGCCGTGTATAATGCTTTTGCCACGTGCCATAGGGGTAATCGTCCCATTATCCAACGTAACAACTTAAGTCTATGCTTTAATACTAAGTTTACAAATGTCGGCGATGGTTGATGTAATTGTTGGGAGAAACTAGTGTTTACATTCGTTTTGGTATATAGGTCGTGCGTAGATACTTTAAATGGATCTGATAATTGAAAAGACCATTTCAAAGAGCTCGCTGGCTTACGAAAGCACCCTCTATGGGGCAGGTAAACCGTCCAGATAACGGTAGATGTGAGACAAAGGCACTAAAGGTGATAGAGTAAACGCTCAATCGACCTCGAGAGACCGCCCGATGTTACGAAGACGTCTGCGCAACAGAGGAGGTTCGTACAACCCTAGTATTTTTCATAGTTTTATATGAACCAAGACAAAACGCACGCTAAAATATATATGCAGTACACCAGCAACTCACTTGAAACTTATGCACATATAAAAACCAGCGACAGCTAATCGGGCCAGCTGTACACAGAAAACTTATTTTAAAAGTATCGCAAAATGGACAAGCAACAAAAAAAGTACTAACCTGGCAAAGAAGCATAAGAACAAGAAGCGAATGCTAACATAAACGCGTTTCTTGCTTCGAACGTATAGGTGAACCCTGCACGCCTCTCTACCTAAAACCGCTATTAATTACATCATACAGACCGACATATTACAATTTTGGGACCCAACGAACGCAAGCTAACTCATTTACAGATGAAGAAGATTTCCCAGTTGAACCAGATACTATAGAAGCAATTTACAGCCCGGATAATTCATTATGGCAGTGCAGTTTTGCAAATCCTGTTTATCGTTTTATTAGCAGACGATTTAACTCAAATTCTTATTGCTCCACTAAGGCACTGAAACAATGGCACATCTAACTGCAATTACCAGTCATAAATCTCGAATGTAACCTTGAGATATTGCTGCAGTAGGTGAAGATATGAGCAGATGCTAAGCGCCGCTATCTTCTGGCCAGGTTCCATGTTGTAGGAAAAGACATACGGCATTAGGGAGACAATTATATTCTGCACCGAATGGATGAAGAATATGTTTCTGCGGCAGGTTAACGATAGAACGCGAGACTCACGTCAAGATATTTCAAAGTTGCAAGCAGATCAAAAGTAAGACTGTTATAAGCTTAAATCGTAAAAGGAGTCTCTTTTCATTTGGTGCAACTGCAAAGGATCAAAGCTTGGAAATTAACAACATCCTTTGCACTTAATTTTCGGCTTTGCGAGATTGAAACTCTTGTTTATGAAGAGCTAAGCATGTGAAAGTTTTAGCAGATGGGTACCCCCTAAATGACCGACTTCACTCAAGTAACTATAAGTCACTTTATTAAGGAAATAGGGCTGTCGACCTTGGGATCGCTATTCATCCTCGAAAATAACACTGGAATCAACTTTCATAACAGCAATCCCGGTAACTGACAAGTCACTGGTATGTATGGTCTGGGCACAAACTGCCGTTACTGAAGTAATCTTGATTATGTTTACAGTAGTTTACCACCAAATAAGTGCTTAGTTAGCATTTGAATTTGTCGATAGTTTCTGAGAGGATCAGCGCGCCAAGTAGTCCGTTCCATGCTCTAACGACTCTACGACACGCTGTTCCGTCGGACGTCCCCATGGAACAAACTCGTCTGCAGTTTAGAAGGATGACCACCCAGGCAGTCCGTCCCAGCAAACTTGAGGAATTCATCAAGGTTTAGGACACATCCATGGCCTCTAACAATCCGGTAGGTCTGCATAAGGTTACAGTCCAGTTGCCTGAAATTGAGAGCAAACAAATCACGTCCAGCCGGTTTGACTTTGTAAGAAACATGGTCAAGATTCTTTACCATCTTCGTAGCCGTTTCCCGCACTTGTTTATGGTGCTGATAATCTTTCTTGGACCAAAGACGCCAGTTCTGGACGGCATACCCCAAGTGAGATTAAACGAATGTCCTGCAGGTTTTTCCGAACAGCTTCCTATGGTATAGAATAGGTTTATTCTAGCACCTCTTGGGCAACAAGCGCCAGTTTATGCACAACCGTTCAAAATCCTTAGACTCGAGATAAGTTGAAATTCATTTATAACTGAAATATTTGACATATTTCTGCGTCGATTTTGCGTCGATTTTTATTAGCTGTCGAAAATAATACATAAATCCATTACACTCTCTCCGTTTAACCATGACTGATGCTGCGTTTGCTGTCGACAAAGTAGATCTTTCGGCCATCGTCCGTTTACAGAAGTTCATCGAGAAACATGAACATATTTTTACGATTCTCGATTCACTAACAGACTCAAATAGATTCATGAAAAGCCTAACGAGCCTACCACAAATTGAATCGATTTTACATTTAGTTTCGTCAGAAGTCGCGGATAGATCGAAACGCAAGCTCAATTTAATTATCCGTAATATGCCCCACACCGTTAATCCGACACCATCAATTCAAAATTTTATACATTCGTGTGGCTTGGACATCAGAGTAGCTAACACTAAAAGACTTCACTCCAGAAGCAAAAATAAACCCGTCTTAGTAACCTTCTACCCACAGGCGGAAGCTAAGATTGTCCTACAAAATCCCGAGGTAAACAGAAATCTGCGGAACCTAAACTCGTT